CGAAAATTTGTGAATTAGATGAAAATAGTCATATATATCAAGATAAATACATCAGTTTTCAGTCTAAATGAAAATAAAATTGTAAAAATGAGAAAATATTTTTAGTGTCAGTACGCGTCTGACTATCCCTAATCCGTAACTACTTATCCAACAAAAATCCGAAAATTTCTACCACTAGAGGCGCTAGCTGATGGACCCCACATTTCTGTATGCGCATTCGAATATACAAGTTCGTCATATTTATAGAACTGTAGAATATGTACGATGAACAAAAACAATTACGTATAATTCGAACATCCATATTTACAGCTACTTTTTGTAATAAAAGCACAACAATTTGTAACTATTTTAAATACAGAGAATGTTACATCTTTTTGCACGACCAGCATAATAGCCGTCATAATATTTTAGTTTATTTCATTAAAGAAGATGATTTTACGGGTATTTAAATAAAAAAATGTACTACAGTATATAATTCTAATAAATTACTGTAAAAGAATGAACAATGTTCGTCTAAAAAGAATGAAGCATTTATCTATAAATTATCGACATTTTCGATTTAGAAAGGAAATTTCACTGATTGAGATTGTAAATATGATTTTGCTTCGAAATGCCTATCACTGTTTACATCACATCAAAATGAAAGTTTCTATATATTTTGTTTTCGATAAAATTCAGAATAACCGTTCTGGATCATCAAAAAGTTAGAATATATATATATATATATTTCGTAAATGTCAATCAATTTATTTTGGATTATATAATAAAATATTTTAATTCCAAATTATTTGTTTCAATTTACGTCCAAAAGGATTAAAATAGTACTATTTAAACTCATTATACAATAAATAAAAAGTTGAAAAAATAATATAAATAGATCGATTTTGCTTTTCTTAACTGTTTCAACTATTCTAATAAATATATTAATTATAGAAAAATGTTAAAATATGTCAAAAATAATATTTTTTTGTCGTTGATGAAAAATGCATTTTTATTTAGGGTATCTCTGATTTGTTAACATTATTAAAACATTCAACTTTGAAAAATTAAAGAAATATAATTTTTAAAGATTTTTTTATTCCATTATTTAATAAGGTTGATAAAAAAAAATAATTCGTATTACTTTTTAAGTACAGCAAGTTATACCATATCTAGCATTTTCTTATGAAAAAAAGGATTTTTTATTTGTTATTTTTAAATTATCGATGGCATAGTTTTGGACATATTATAATAAATTTATAAAGTTAAAAAATGGATATAATTTTTCTATTGAACGATCACTCGCAAGATTGCTCGGTAACTTGATCGCAGCATTTATATTTATAAATATACATGAAAGTTTCAACTTAGCCGAAGCTGTACTGGCTCGGTGAAGGAAATACGGTAAGAAAACTTATGATGTTTAGTTAGCAGATTCTTTAATCTCTTCAGAAACTTTGTAGTAAAAAACAAAAAGAAAACAGAATAATATGAAAAAAAAAACAACTAAAACACACCAATTAAAATCGATAAAATAACTTACAAGATAACAGTTCGAAAGTAATGTGGTCACAACAAATGCATGTAGTTGACTATCTTACCATTATAATTCGGTCTTATATACTCTGCGTCCGATCTTTAATCCGTAATAGATTTGTAATAGGATTGTACACGTTACTTAGTTTTGCAGTATTCTCTTTATCATTAATGTTGCGATAAAAATACTTGGCACGTAGTATTTCTAAGACCAAACGCTTCTTTCAGTTAGACTCGAATTTATCCATATATATATAACCGCATTATTATTCCTATGTTAAATAATGCGTGTTTTCAATGTCAGTTTAGTTTTTAAATATGTTCGCCAACCCCATCGCATGGTTTATGATTCAGTTTATCGATTAAATTAGTCCGATCCATCTTTGGAGTTATATCCTTGTCTAATCTTATTTCACTCAACATTTTGTTTCATAAGGATATCGCGCCAATATTGTAAGTTTTTAGACGGAATGCTCACTGTCCTTTTTATATGACTGTTATTTGTATATTTATTCATATCAATAAAGGAGATTTTCTTTAATTTAACGTTTATGTGTTTTGAGATGAACTGGGTATTGAGTATTGATTGTCCAATAAGATATTAGTGATATTGCGTCTATTTGTCTGTTCGTCTATTTATTTGTCAGACTATAAGAACGCTCGATCTACTTAATTGTATACATTATTATTCTTATAAGATACTGAATAAGTTCATAAAAAATTGTGTTAGTCTGTCTGATGAAGTTGATTTCTGATACCACTTCGTCAAAATTCTGTTGTCTCTTCTGACAACCGTGGTACTTAAAAAATTCAATTTATTTTAACTTCCAATTCTATTGATTAGATCGGTACCAGCTGAGTCTAATTGGAAGAATCAGAAATATTACATATAGAGAGTTTTCATTACAATGTTAATTATAAAGAGGATACAGCAGAACTGAGTAACATATACAATTGTATTACAAGCCTACTACGGATTAAAGATTGGGCGCAGAGTATATAAGATCGAATCATAATAGTAAGATCAGTTAACTATATGCATTTGTTGTGACCACAGTACTTTCTAACTGTTATCTTGTAAGTAGTTTTTTTGATTTGTTGATTTCTGTATCTTAATTATTTTTTCATATCGTTTTTTCATTCTGTTATTATAAAGTTTCTGAAGAAGTTAAAGAATCTGTTAACGAAACGTCAAAAGTTGTTTTCTTTCCATATTGCTTCTATCGATCGAACACTATAACCTCAACAAAGATAAAACTGTAACAGACGAGAACAGTGGTCAAAGAAATAAAAGTTACAATTGCAATTAAAATCACTTTTGTAATTTTTGAGAAAGTAGTCAGCGACAAATCCATCAATCGCATGTATCAAACATTTCAACATTCCCAAATGATAACAGAATAAATTCAAAAAACATCAACACGTTTGGTCTTGTCTTATTTTCTTCGCATCATACAGAATTTCCACAATTCATAACATAATTTTATAAGCATCTTTATCTCGCGTCAGCGTCGCGCCAAATTACTAATAAAAGAATAAATCTCACCTCTGAGCCCATAGAGAAGTATAAATTGGCTACATTTATCCATGAAAAGTGTGCTTGATCAGTCCTAGTTATCCTACTTTAATACTGTTCAACTTCATATTGACATACCAATGACCTTGAAGTTTTGGTATTTTACCCTTAGTATATGGACAATTGTAAAACCAGATTCTCTAACCGTTTAGGAAATAAACATAACGAGCTGTCTTGTCACAGATTCTTTTTGTTCGTAAAAGAGAAATATTGAAATTTCTCCTTGTAACGTGGAAGTTTTAATTTTAGGTTACGTATGTAGCTTCTTATATTTATTGGTTTATCATTAATTGGAAGAGAACCACTTATAAAATTTAGTGCAAACCGTAAGCCTATACGCCAAAATTTTATAAAACATTTTCAATTTTATAAAAAAACATTGAATCCTTCAAAAATCGATTAGGCGTTTTCAGAGAATATGTACGTGCCAGACATAGATGCAATTTATACATGGCAAAAAAAAGATCATCGACAGGGCAATTCTATATGGGCCTGTATTTGAAGAATAACATCAATAACATGGCTGGAAAGCGGTGGGACGAGTTTCTATCATCGAGAAATAAATTTAAGGTGAAAAGAGCCCATGGCGGATCTTTCTGACCCTTTTACACAATAGCGGCTTCTGTATATAATAATCATAAATACCCCCGCATCAACCGCATGTACGCCGATTATCGTGATAAGTGTATACTGCCAGAGATTGATATCGAACAACGACGTCATATATATATTGATTGCTTTTTATTTGACTTGTCGAATCCTGAGTAAGCCGTTATTGGGATATCGCTCTAATGGAAGAAGAAAGGATAAGATCTATCCTAAACATTCACGCTGAAGTAAGCGCATTATTACGTATGCTCATAGTTATGATCTGGCCTCGTGGCGTATGAAAAAACCCTAAGAATATAGTTTGGGAAATGTATGATTATAGGACGTAAGTATCAGCTTCCGCGGCGCATTTCGACTTTAGCAGGTGTGGCACGGGAAATAGTCGTCGAGCCACCACGTAAACGTAGAATATGGATGTTCAATGACGAAGACATGGAACAAATCGACTATCCCGGATAAGCTTCAAAATGTTGCACTTTCACACTCATGCAAAAATAGTTACAACTAATCCTATCTTTAAAGAATGATGAGTCGTCGACATTCCAGTGTTGTAATTAGTTGATGCAAAAAAAAAAAGAGCGTGAAATTTTTTATTTCCGTATACTTGGAAATAGTTGTATTATGTATTAGAAATGAAAGATTTACATTTCAGCAGTAAATAAAATTTATGAATAATTAATATGATTAATAATCTACAAAAATAGAAATATGTCGATGACAAATCGTTTTACCGAAATAAGAGGCTACCTATTCAAATTATGCTGGAATAATTAGTATGAATGGATAATTTAATTACCATCTGTGAAATTAATAGTGCTATCTTAAAATGTGATTGGAAGAGAGAAGAAATGAATAGAATAGAACGGAAACTAATTATCAGAATAAAAAATTTGAAGAATGTTCACGGGTGTTTTCAATGAGGCAACAAAAGAACATTAGACGTTGAAATGTATTAATACTAATATAATACTGTTATTATTGAAAATTATATTGTTATTATTGAGTTTATTATTATTGAAACTCATAGGTTAACAACGTGTGTTATCAACATCAAATTGTCAATACAAGTAAATAAAACAAAAAGGAAACGAATACAAGAACAAATTAGCGAGTTATGCCCCCTCTTCAACTTGCCAAAAAAATGCATTTGATGCCATCGATGCACAATCATCGAAAATAATTCCGATTTTGAATTTCGCGGGTTGCAAATGAATGTCCGGGCACAGTACTATATACATACATCTATATATATATATATATAAACACATCATATTATGCATCGTTCCTAGTTATCCGAGTCCCCACGATATTATCATTTTATGATGATACAAAAGTAATTTGACGTCACATACTTCGTGTACACCACCACGTGCGTTCTGGATGCGCACGCAGTTTTCATAAAAGAAAGTCTTTTAATTCCGTCTGCTGTTTTCGGCTCATTCTTTATCGTCGACGAAAAATGTCTGGAGCTTTTCGGTTGTTAATACGTACAGTGAAATTTACATCTTTTCAGAAAGCGGCTGAGCCACTCGTTGCTCCTTCACCTTTTAATGCAACAAAATTTCAAGTGAGTTACGTTTTACACTAACGGAATTATATTATTTATCGTTGTTGATAACATACAAAGAGGTTAGATGGAATAAAACTGGTTTTCAATGTTTGCTTTGTTTTTTTATTAACAACAATGAATTAAAAGTATGATCATGATATTATTTTAATTTTTTATTCACAATGAGTGAAGATAAGAACATTAAACTTTTTTCTGTTCTGAAATGAGATACCAAATTTGATGTATTTATAAGAAAACATAATAATATAAATTTTTATTCACTTTCAATCATTAATTAATTCAATAATTAATTAATGGCTAATAATCATCTCATTGTTCAATAGAGTTTAATCTCCATTCAATAATATCTTTTAATTTTTTTTATTAAAAATCCAGGTGAGGAATATCAATACTGATATTTCACCAAATGTCTATGAATTAGATAAATCAAAACTTCCTGATTATGAAACGTCAAATAAAGAATGGCATTATGTGGAACGCCTCATACCTCTCAAGGTAGTGCCTCAACCAAAATATTTTGATGGACCAGCTCCTTCAGGATGGATACCTCCAAAGGGTATGTTGTATAAAAAAAATTAACTCTTCAATCAATTTAAAATTATGTGAAAATCTTTTAACAATCAGTTTCTAGAAAAAAACTCAACATTGACGCAAAAAATGTAACTCACAATTTTTGTCAGAAATTGATTGTTCACTTAAATTTCAGAAGAAGGGCTGACTCATCCATACTATATTCCACGGACTAAAAATCACATGATGCAAGTTTATTTAAAGATATCACAAAGAGGTTGTAAGCATGTAACATGCATTAGAAAAATTGAAGGAGATATATGGAAATGTGAAAAAGATATTAGAAAATTTTTAAAACCTCAGCTGCCAGAGTTGACATATGCTCGACTTAGTAGTCGAGTCAATGAAATGACAAGACAAATTCACTTTAGAGGCGATTATGTAGCTTATGTTAAAAAGTGGATGGAAATAAAAGGATTTTAGAACAAGGATTAATGTATATTTGACTATTATCAAAAACTTGCTCATTGTAACGAATAAAACTTCTCTTTTGATAAATTATTATGTATTCGCTTTAAATGACTTTATACAAATGACCATGACGCCACGAGCAATAAATAAATTGTAATGTCTTTTGTTTTCAGATCAAGAACAAATGAAGTAATAAACACGTCTTTATCTACTAAAAACATTTTCTCTCAAGTAAAAATACTCATTCAAACATAAGTACACTAGATTGAGGGAAACTAATGAGGACATTATACAGAATTTTTTTTTTAGCAAAGTGCTGAGTTTTTAAATTTATTTTATGCGAATAATGTTTTTAAAATGCGAAACTATTTTTATTTAAAAATTTTCCCTTGGTTGAATTCGCGGCCATCCTTATCAGCACCAGACCAGCTGAGATATTGTTTGACAAGTTCCTTAGTCTTTTCATCTTTAGGGTCCAACTTTTTCCAAGTGTAAGATTCATAATCTATTTGCCAGTCGGGGGACAGCTAAAATAATTTAAGTTATTTATTTGTCTTTTAATCAATAAATCTTTTAATCAATTAATCTTTTAATCAATAAATCATACCGGGAATGCTAGTTCGTGTCCACGCCATATCCAAATTCCACTAATAGTGCTATTGTTGTCTGTGCCAAAAAGACAAACGCTGGCAAAGGCAGCCTTTCTCATTTTATCCAAGCGTTGATACATTCCACTGATTAAATTGCAAGACATAAATACCTGAAACAAAACAATAAAAATTATTTTCTCTGTAATATTGATTAATATAATTTCTATTTACAAATTTTCATTATAATAATATTCTATTAAATTTATTATAATACCTTTGTAAGCTCATCTGGGTACTTGTATTCACAAAACCAAATGCTGTAGTTTTCAGGGTCAAACTTCTCCCAGAAGTAAGGGATAGATTTAGCTTCATCTTCATTACTATAGCATCGTTTGAAATCATCCATATCAAAGGTACCCTTTGGCATGCTGTCAAACGGATTTGAAGACTTAGGTTCTGCTGCCAAAATAGTTTCAGCTTCATCAGGTTCTTCTATCGCTTCCTTCTTATCTTTTTTGGATTCCTTCTCTTTCTTAGCCTCCTTTTCTTTCTTGTCTTTTTTACCCTGAAATAAAACACAAACTTATAATCACCATAACTAATTAGTATTATAAGAAACAAAATATTGATTATTTATTACCTTTCCTTGAGCTTCTGAGTATTTTTTGGGGTCGTATTCTAGCGTTTTGTCAGCCAATTTGAAGGCACCAATCACGGCAATAACTTGGGGTTGGTTGATAATGGTTTGAAACCATCTGTTCACATTTGTGTAGGGTTTACGTAGACTGGGTTCCAGAATGTACTGATACAAGTAAAGAAGAGTCATGGCCATGCTGATGTCAGCTAATGATATTCTTTCGCCAACAAGGTAAGTTCTAGTCAGCAAATAGTCATTCAAAAACGTTAGAGTTTTTTTGACGTCATCCTTTGCTGCCTCGACATTCTACAATATAAAAAATTTTTTTTAACTATTGATTTAGTTTGTACTGTATGTGGAAATATTTTCGATTATTGTGACGAAATAATATAAATACAAAAATGTCAGCATGATCAACAAAGCACCAGCAAAATAAGTGCAAATGCTACCGGTGTATGCTATTTACTATTCCTCTTTTTGTTACGAAATAGAACTAAAATGTTCAATCTCGCCTTTAGAAGAGGGTATTATTTTGTAATAATTATTCAATCATACCTGTTTATTATAAGGCATAATGCCAAGAAGAGGAAAAACCCATGCACTGCTAGCAGGCAAGATTTCAGAGTCGGCAAAACTCAGCCATTGCATGACTTGAGCATGCTCCAAGTCTGACTTTCCTCTCAGCTGATCATTAGCGACTGAAAGAATAACAATAAAAAAATTAGCAGTGTTAACATATATTCACAAGTTTATCATTCTCAATATAATAATCCAACAACTTACCATAATAAGCAATTGCATTACTTTCGGTAATGTACTTGCCATCACTTGTTTCAAAAGCTGGTACCTATAATTAAAAAGTTACTTACTAATGAATTAAGCTATTTACAATATGATTAATGAAATGTGAAAATTAAATTTGCATCTTCCTTCAATTATTTTAAGTTATTTAATAAATTTAATATATATTGATAAAATACAAAGTTGTGCTACAAATTGTTTACAATTTGAACACACTATGCAATATATTATTTAATAATCTATATTTTAATCTAATTTCTACTGAATTAAAAATTTCTCTTGATAAAAATGTTGATTACACTTCGTTTTATCGAATGAAAAGTTTCAAATTACTTGCGAAAATCGCAATTTTTAACAGATTACATATTTAATCAACTTTACGCAATTATTTTATATATTTTCGTGAGCTATAATAATCAATGGTATTGCAAATGAATCATCAAGTCGATTATTCCAGTTAGGACCTGTAAAATTATGACAAACCTTTTGACAAAATCAGTCAACATCTGGACGGTTTGAGGAAAGGAATTGATGCAATCTTACAGAAGTTGCTTATCAGCTTTTTAAAATTAAAAAAAGTACGTAAACATCGTAAGTAAAGTAACCTCCTAGGAAGCAAAAGATATAACGGTGCCACGAAATTCTAAATCTGGACACATCAGCAAATTCGCGAGAGAGGAAAGTAAGCCAGCCCTCGAATTCCTCGCGACAGTGGAAAGAAAGAAGAAAAAGATGAGAGAATAAAAGCGAAAGCAGCGAGATCATTGCATGTAGAAGATATAAGTTGTCTAGGATATTGAATTTAACTCACCTTGCCAAGTGGAAATTTCTTGAGGAAGTCGGGTGACTTGTTAGTCTCACCGAAGACGAAATTCTTGGCGAGATTGACCTTGGCCCCGGAGAATTGGGCCGCGATGAGGGCCTTGTAGGCTCTGAAGTTCTCCGGATAGGTGTAAAGTGTCTGCAAGCAAAAAATAGTCGATCCATAAGCTAGCTAAACTCGTGTCCTGGAAGATGGTTATTTTTGGAGAACTTGATTAGGAAAGTTGGGACAGATGTTCTAGGGTGCTTGAATAGGTTGCTGGACACACGCGAAACACTTACACCAGACGCCATTGCCGCTACGGGAAGAGGAAGTCGAAGGCCGGCTAAAAACCGACTCACCGCGTTCACGTCGTCAAATATCTCACGCAAGACTCTGTCACTGCGCAAGCGCAATCCCATCACCCCGTGGGCCGTCCACCGCCGTGCCGTCGGCACTCGGCCGTCACCCGAAGTTCCGAACGGGTACTATATATAGCTATATATTTAGAAGTGCTTTAATTAAATTTAAATTGGCGTTAACCTGTTCAAATACTGAACTCGACCATATGTATGTTCTTATATCTTATATCTTATTTATATTTTTACTAAATAATGACTTCAAATTTCTTTTACCAAAATAACTCAAATGACAATGCAGCGAATTCATTATACGATTAATTTCTTGTAATGAAGGGGACCAGCTAACATTAAACAATGAAAATTATAAGTTTTCCTTACTGTGAAGTAAAAATCAGTTTAATGAAATTATGATCATAAACGCTTATCTTTTTAAGTCCAAAAATCTCAATTAGGTGCCCTGGAAAGTCCCCTTGACTGTAACACCTTATTTTTATAGAAAAAGTGGTTTAATAAACTTTTCTCAACATTAGAGTAAACTAGCTTTTATTTTTAAAGGGTCTTTTTTTTAGATCATTACTTTTATTAAGATTAAGTAAAAAGTTTTTCGAAATAGTCAATTTTACCAATTTTACGAGAATTTTAACAAATTTCTTTCAAAATTTTTTTTGGATAAATTTGCTAAAGCTTTCATAAAAATGGTAAAATTGACTAGTTCGAAAAATCCTTATTCACTTAATCTGGAAGAATGATCTAAAGGATGAAAATGAGCTCTTTAGAAATAATTTTGGTAGAATGGTAAAACACTTTTTTTTAAAATAAAGTGTTACGAAAAAATAACGCTCTGTTAACTTTACCGATTGAGCAAAAAAGGTTTTCCAGGATTTTTCTAAATGAAATAGTCAACTTGAAACTTTTTCAGAACATCGATCGTTCATAAACCAAAAAGCGTAAAGAGCTGTTTTGTTTCAATTGCCTTGGAGATTACGAAAAAAAAATTAAAACTCTATTCGCAGTTTTTATTTTATTTTCTCGATTTCCAAAGCAACTTTGAAAAAAAAACGGATTTTAACAGCCCTATTTTTATGTACAGAAATGAATGTTATGAAAAAGTTTCAGGTTGACTAATTAAAAAAAACAAAATTATTATTTGTTTAAGAAAAAATCTGGAAAAACTTTTGTTCAGTCGATAATGTTAACAGATTCTTATAAGGGGACTTTTTAGGGTATCTAATTAAGATTTTGGCATTTACACAAAATAAAATGAAAGCATGTATCAAGAACTTTAAGATAAAAAAATTTATGATAATAGTTTAATTAGGACAATTTTTACACCACAGTAAAGAAAATTTCTAATTTTTACTGTTTATCATTAGCTGATCCTCTTAGGAAGAATAACACTATGACATTTATATACTTATAAAATGTAATCTTATAATTGGATATATATAGACTAAAACAAAAATTGGATATATATACTAAAACAAAATACATAACTATACAATTTCCTGTATAGATTTATAATTAGAATTTTATTCAAATTTGCAAATATCGGTAAAACTATTATACTCAAAGTATCCAAATTAATAACTTAAATTATATACTTCTCAATTTTAGTAAAGTAATAGTTTAAATCTCTAAATAAGATAAAGGAAATCACCGAGAAATCAATGAAAATCAACCCGGAAAAATTATTGAAAAACTGTTCATGATTAGCAAAGATAACAATACTCATTAATAATTCCGCACATTTAAGATTTTGTTAATAAAGCAATTGTTGAACATTCCGAGATTGATAGAAATTGAATCTGGGTAGCGTTTTAATTCGGTTTTTATAAAAAATTTTAATTAGTAAAAGTCACGCGTAATTTTTCTATCCAATCAAAATATTATTATAGTTATCCGTTAAAGAATAAATATTATATCTCATTATAGCATTGTTACAGTTATAAATACATGTACTTGCGAAAGATTAGTAGGTAACGTAAACTCAAGAAGTACATACCTATATAAGCATCGATTATTTTTCGAATATCCAGCAATATCAACTATTTTAACATAGGAATAGGTTATTATTTTAACAACCAATAATTTCAAGTACTTTACAACCTATTTCTTATTATAGCTGCGCAATATTTCTCATGAGAGAGTATTATCCTACAAATGTGTAGATCTATATTATCGATTGATCTTTCAGATGCACGTATAGCTGAAAATCTTATAAGAAATATTATTTATTCTTTAATGGATCGTAATTTTTTTAACGATTCAACACATTTATTTCGATAAAAAACGGTATTAAAATGCTAAGGCGATTCAATTTCTACTGAGCTGGAAACGTTTAATTTTCGAAATATTTTTGTAATAAAAACTCAAGTGCACAAAATTATTAATAAGTTTTGTTATCCTTGCCAATCATTTGTTAATCATTTGTATTTAGGAAATAAATAAATATTTATTCCCTAAATACAAGAAATATCGGTAGAGGTGTGAAAGGACAATAAACAGCTATGCAGAGTATAAAGAAAAGAAGAGTAACTCAATGTATAATGGTACAAATTTTCTCGCAGCTTCTTCTTAGATACTCCAACATGCGCATGCCGAGCATTCAAGCGACTTTGTTCAAGCTTAATTAGTTTATTCTATATATACGTGGTCTGTTCAAAAAGTATCGCGAATTTTGAATTTCCGCGGGTTAAGTAAATTTGATTTTTGATTTTTTTGTAGCGTTATGTTGGTACTCTTGTCCCTTACTTATGTCTGACAAGGTCGGCCATTTAGAAGTTGAGTTAATTTTTGACACTGGGGGTACTACCGATATAAATGTATCCGGTTGCGCAGAGGCTCTATACTGCAACTGCGCAATGTGCGTAATGTGCGCAGTTGCTGTATAGAGCCTCTGCGCAACCGGATACCCCAGCTGTCAAAAATTAACTCAACATTCAATGTTGAGTTAAGCTAATGTTATATTCTTCGTAACGGTAAGCAAATTGATGAAGTTATATTTAATTTTATACTGACTTTCTGTTCCATCGAATAATTCTTCTGAATTTATTGTTGAATTCTTTTATCAAAATAAATACAAATTTTTTTTATAAAAAGCACTACGATATCTTTATTGGTACTTTTGCAAATAGGTACAAAACTTTTAGTTTTCATTTCATCATTTATTCTATTGTTTATTGAAAACGAATGAGTAGTTATGTTGTTTATCGATGAAAAATGTACTGTAATGCATTGAAGCTTGAGTTCTCATGAATAATTTTCAGAAAAATCCAATCCTACAACGATGACATCTTTTTCAAGAGATTTTTTTCTGAGATTTAAATACATTTTTAATAAAATTGACTTTTTATGGATTCCTGCATTTTCTGCATTCCTTCGCCACATCCGGATGTCTAATGAACATTTTAGTCAATTTATTATTTTGCGAAATATTGGACAATCTATTTTAGTATTAAATCACCCATTGATTTTATGAACAGTTTATTCATATATTACAAAAGGCTACGTATTGATTGAAATTTCTACAAAAAGTTTTCTGCATCTTTGCTTTTAAACTTAGATATTCCTGTTCCTACAATAATACTGGCTAGATTACTTATATCTATTTATAGCGTGTTCCAATTACCTATAGCTCAAGAAATCAATGTATCAATGACCGGTATTTTAAGCTGTATTCAATTTGTAAATAAGTTATAATAGGACATGAATATATCAAATTATGTAATATGTACCGCAGCACAATTGAAAACGGTCACATAACTGAAAAAAATGAGAAAAACGTCCCTTATTCGCTTTTACACTCTTGTCAAATAAATATATTTGATAACCTTATGTGACGAAACAAGTTTCAATCCATCACATAGGTTGCCTAGATTAAAGTCAAACTAATTATTTTGCTTATACATTGCCTAAACTTTTTAAATGAAATTAAAGGGGGTCAGATAGTAGGTGAGGGGCCGGTAATAGGTAATAACCTTTCTCCTCGTTAACATCTCCATTTGTGGTGTAATTTTCATTGCCTCTTCTAATGATTTTTTATGCTACCTATTAGTCGTACACAATTGTTTGTCCCAGACACGAAATACATTTGTCTGGCGATTATCTTAGCCTTGTCCTTTTTCCTATCCGCTCATATTATCGTTGTTTTCTTCAATCTGAAAACTGTTGTTTTTAATGATCGATACAGAGCCATCAAGATCATATGTATCTTGAGTTTCATTCAGTAAATCATCGAAATCTTGGCTGTTTGAAAAAATACAATTATGAAGGCTTGATAACACGTCCGTTTTCTCTGTAAATAAAGCATAAGTACGCATTCATTTAAGATATTGTCAACTTCTCATTTTTGTTTAAATTATTAACAAATATTTTTAATAAAATTAGTTCTATAATTTTTCCGCGAATCGAACGTAAAATGGCGACGGTGCCCCCTCTTAGCGGGGAGCATAGAATCGCCTGGACAAAGGAGGACTTGTGGCGTTGGTTATTCGCATTGGGACCCTGCGCAGTACATTGTGCGCTGATCTGTTTGTCAAAAGAGCAATATAAATATTGCCAATGGAGTAAGTAATCGATGTTAATTAGTTTTGTGATGAACCAATCGGCTCACAATGCAGTGCACGATCAACATAACAATAAGACTTGTAAGAGTAGAGAATAAATACCACGCACTGTATAACACGCTACAGTATGTTCATTGCCGTGGTATTTCAAACATCACACAGTGTACGTCCATTGCCCACTTTGCTCCCTTGGTGCATAATGTACTGTTTGGTATAACAGACAACACATCGCGTGTACGCGAAGCACTTTACTTTTAGACAATTAATGCGTTTCTATGTCGCCTGCTGAAGGTGCAACGTCGACCCTTTGTGGGGATATGCGAAAACAGTAAACATAACGCGGGAGTATGAGTAGTTATACAATAATAATATTAAAATTCTAAATATAATATGCAATTTATACTTCTGCGAGCTTGACGACCGTTCTTTGAAACTTTTGGCGGCTGATAAATGTGCACACTCGTATCCACTTCAAAATCCAACAATCGTTTTGCGAATGTCTGCTGGTCCAGTAGAAAATCTTTTGTTTTTCGGTCTCGGATTTCAGCCAGTGCGTTCTTCGCCGAAATATCGAATAATCGTTTGAGCGACTTGGTGAACTCAAACCTATTCACTCGATGCACAAAAGTTTTACAGCTTTTTTTTTCAGCACGGCATTCCATTTGTCGTACAATTTTTGTAGGTGGAAAATACACGCTCTTTCACTTTTCGTTGGAATGTTGGCCTTTTTCCAAAAGACTAAACACTTCCTGACAACGATCCGTAAACTTTCACTGGATGTCTTCTTTTCGTTAATAGTCCAATAAAAATAACACTGCAACGTTTCTAAATTAGTTGGCAATTTCCACCCGCATAATTCTTTCCTGAGATACCTTTTGTCTTTAATTTTAGAAAATACCGATGCAGAAGCGTTTTCCATACGCGTCGATATGCGATCTCTTCGCTCGGTTATCGACATAGTCCTTACAAATTTCTACAAAAACACAGCAAATGTAACTTCGCACGACGCCACAAGAAAAGGAAATTTTACTAGTTATTCTGAATAGCACTACTTCTACTTGTTTTTCGAGCAGAGCTTAGCCGAGACTGCAGTAGTTGCATGACGCTTCCAAACTTTCCAAACTAGCTACGCCGCTGAGGTCATAAATTCGGAAATTTAAATTTGAATATTCTCTTTTCGAGGATCCAACTGTCTTTTGTGCAACCGTCTCCGCCCACTACAAAGCTTACAAGAGCCCCCGCAGTAACACTTTATACAACATCAAAATCTTAATCGCATTTTTTTAGTACTGCTTTTTGGACTTTGAACATGTTTGCGCCAATGTATACTATCGTAAAAGTAGGAGAAAATAAAATTGCGTGGGGTTGTAGTTGTATTACATAAATTGTATGTATGTGTGTGCAATAGAGTAAAGAGATCGAAAGAGCCTAGTCATCCTTGAGCGAGAGAAAGTTTAAGCGTCCAAATTACCGAGCGTGGCAGTGAAATATGTCTGAGATTATAGGGATACATCTCGAAAAGTGAGGTGGACCTAACACGGCCCCGGAGTAATCTCAAAGAAAATTCGGCTGCGAGACGACACAGCACGTTTTGAAATAGAATTATATTGGTGAGAAATGATGATTTTGGTTCTTAGTTCTGCCTGTTAGTTCTATTTTCATTTGTTCATTGCAACCCCTAAATTCCTAGCGTAATAAAATCATTCCACAGTTGTATAACGTCATATTTGCTTTAAAAAAATATATTTCAAAAAATTACAAAATTTTATTTCCAAAACCGTGATGAAAATCAACACAAAAAAAAATATGACAGTTAACTATTGTTTTGCACAAAACATTTTAAATGTTGCTATTACTTTGCGTTGTTGTATAATTACGTTTTTTATATAACATAATGACGATTAGAGCAGCTTTGTTTAAACAATATACCAAGTAAAGGAAACTTTTTACAACTTATTATTTGCAGCTTCAATTTATTTATTAAATTATTTGAAAATAAATATTTGTTTCCATCTGATAATTATATCGTTTTTTTTAATGAAAGTAATATTTAAAAAATGTACATATTAAATTTTTTACTAAGGGTAAAGAAATATATATTTTTAAAGTTTGAATAGGTTGTTATGCAGGATGTATATGTACATAAATATGACGAATAAATAGAAAGCGTTTTTGCATTTAATAGCATTTATTTATTTAAATATTCTATTGTTGTTTTTATATGTAAATCTATTATTAAAATAATTATGAGTTTTTTAGTTGTAAAGTTCTTTGTAAGCATTTTTTTACAATAATCTCAAATTAATAATAGTTTATCAAGCATACAACGAACATTAGCGTTAATTACGTAAGTCCTAACTTCTTAGTTTATTTTTTGTCTTTTCTTTTTTTATCGAATAGTATTTATTCTCGAGCTATACTCGCCTGCCCTCTTTCTTTAAGCTATTCGTATAATTTGCTTGCCTAGTATAAAACACAATCTCTCTTTATTTGAAATTATAAGTATAACCAATAACGAAAAAAATGTCAACCTATTGCGCACGCATTAAATATTTCACAACATCCGGTCATTGTTTTTTTCAAAGGGGTCTAGGTGTCGTCAAACGCGTCTCGTGTATTCATCTCTTATTTGTATTCAGTATATTCAGTTTCACGCTTGCATCAAATCCAACTTATTATATATTATTAACTTATTGAATAAAAATATTCTAAAATATACTATATATGTAACACCATTCTATGCTTTGAAACTTTCACCGTAGGTCGATATTAATTGATAAATAAAAATCCAATAATATTTAGTTATATAGGTAATCGGTAGCACACCAAATTTGTTTTCCTTTTTTCCGTTATCAAATAAATAAAACCGTTAGCTGCGTTAGTCGATTTAATTTACTTTATTTTTTAACAAATTAATTGGTCTATGATTTCAAGCTTTTAGTGGGATACCTCCATATCAACATTTATAACATTTTAAATGTTTTTTTATCTATTTTTTCAACTATTTATCCGTAACCATTTGGAGAGTTCGTTTATTTATTGTAACTTGAAGTTTTTTTCAAATAAATTAACGGTACCGAATGCGTTGAAATCAATTCACACTATATTTAATATGACAAATTCATTTATAATTATCTTCATTCTTGGTGATGTTTATTCAAAACTAAACTTTACAATAAAGATATTCAAATTCAATAAATTTAATTGGAGTGGAAAGATTACTCCATCGTATTATTTTAAGGTTAGCTCGTTGAAAGAATTTGGGCGTTATTGTCTTTTCAATGCCTACAAATTGTTATTTATTTTGACACGTTTATTGATTGAGTATAAAACAATGAAAACGCCTCACTTTTGTAGCATTGATTCTGCCAATCAAATTACGAATAAAATGACTTCAAACCAATAAGTAATAATTTTGATTGTTATTTCCAACTAACATTAAATCTAAAAAGTTTATGTTGTTATTAACTGTTACCTCATAGATAAATTGTAAATGTGAGTTATAACTGTTAAAAATATCTATGATTGCTTGGTAAATAATCAAATGAACTTGAACGAAAATTCAAGTTTATACATATTATTAAGCGATATACAGTACGGGCGGTGTCAAGGATAATTAATATGAATGAAACATCGCAGCAATGTTAGAGCGTTTTGATAGCTGGTTGTAGAAATGTTGGAGTATTACGTAATGATTGGCGTCAGAAAATGAAAATATGATTGCTAAGAGCTCAGCAAACTATATCGTACAAAGATTGTTACAGATTTCAAATAATTTTACAAGTGCAGATATACAATTTTCATATGTGACGAAAATTATTGTCTAAATGTGAGGTACAACTGCATAATCATGCGCACATTCAATTCGTTGAATTCTCCATTAACAGTCATAACTTAACCGTCATTAGAAAGTAATATTTGAATTCAACGGTTATTTGCCTTTCTTGACCTCTCAAGAGATGTCTTCAACGGAAGATGTCTTCAAGTCTTCAACGGTTATTTGCCTTTCTTGACCTCTCAAGAGAGGTCAAGAAAGGCAAATAACCGTTGAATTCAAATATTACTCTCTAATCCCGCGTAATTGACGAAAATTCCGCGAAAACCTTAGCCTATTGGCGCTTTAAAGGCGCACATGAGCCTACGAATATAAATTCATGCGCGTAACGCGACAGCATCTCATCCTTCTGTGCGTCATGATCCAGAGGAGTCGACGGCTGAGTGGATTCTTGTAAGTAGAGGTGATATAATTGTTTGTTCAATTGCGATTAATAATTACTCTTGGCGATAGGTTCAAGGAATTGTTTGGGCGTTTGAAGTATGTACAAACAGCTAGTGAACCTATATTTAATTGTAATGACAACCTTCGTGTTTATTGTTGTTCATGATCATGGCAAGTTGACAATCGTGTACATAACTTTTATGCACATGAAATATTGTGCACCGGAAATATGGTACAGTATATCTATACGTCAATTTTCAGGTATGTTACGGTGCACAACAGTTTATATCTATAACAATTATGTGCACTATTGCCAACTTGCCTCGATCATCCTGATATTACTGATTTTTTCTGTATATATTGTTTTTCTATATATATTACATGTCAATACTCATTCTGTCACATTATGTTTAACGAACAATTCAAATTTAAATGATCTGTCTATATATCGTACGTTAGAGTGAGCGTCTGTTATAGACAAAGGAAAAGCAACGCAATAAATGGTCCAAGCAGTCTTCATTCTTCGTCTGTTGGAGGCGAGCGTACGTCTAATAAAACGTAGTTTATTTTAATCGTGACTAGACGTACACTCACATCTCTACCCGACGAAATCTTCATCGTTAAAATATTGTCAAATTATCTACCAATATAATTTTCGTTTTCGTAAGTATTATAATTTAGTGTCATGCTTGTTTCCGTTTCGACATTCAAGTGTAACTCTATTCTTGCTTAAGTTGGGTAACTGTAAAATGCAGTATGATATTTCATCTCATTACTTAAACTTTGTTGTTTTTATTGATAACTAGGCAAATATCCGGAAAATAAAGTGTGGGAAATTTTTATAATTTTTACAGCATATATAGCTTATTTTCAAATGACACTTCATAATTCAAATTATATCTGTTTTCTATGATACATGATACCGCAGAGATAACTTGAAATATATTGTTATTGTTATTATTAGTTTCAGAACTACTTTGAGAAAGAATAACGGTCTACATATTCTCTGAGAAATCGCATAAAATTTTTTGAAGACTTTTCTGTGAAATGAAATATTAAATTTCATTTAATATTTCATTTCACAGAAATTTCATTTAATATTTCATTTAATAACCACGAATGGAATCGCATTGAAATACATGATCAATTTTTTTGCACTGTCGAAAGATTGAAACGATACAATAAAAAATTTAGTCGTTTGCTTTGACGATAACGTAAACTGATATCGGTAAGAAACGTGTTACATAACTATAAAATCACAAGACGTTCGTGAAAACTTTTATTCGGATATGTCGCACCGTCAACTTTCATGAAAGATTTTGTGAGTAAACAAATGATGCATCGCAAGAAGTCCAACGTACTCCTGAATAACGTGAAAATTTCAAAATATTTTCCCTCACGATATGTTTATTTCTCAATAAAACGCATGACAGATTGAGAAATTGTATCATAATTGCATAGAGTTAAAAATTATAGACAAATCAAATGAACTAAATAACTTTCAATCACATCGACAATTTTTTTCTGTATTTCTCAAATTACCTTTAATTTTATTATTTTCAGAGCAAATCCCATTTTCGAATTCCACAATAAATAATATGAATACATGACTGCAGCTGTATTTCTAGTGTACATAATATATTATGGCTATTGGCAGTCAAAGTCGATCGGAGAAATATGGAAGATCTCACAGTCACGACCGTTTCATCAAAACAAGGAAACCACGGATAGAAGCAGGACCTGATATTCACCGTACCACCAATGATCCGGCATAGCACGATTACTAGTAAAATTTAATGGGTTCTGAAGGGCTGCGAAGTGAGTCACGTATCTTCACAGTCGTCCGAGCCGTTATAATTTTACTTTTGTAACAACACTGAACTTGAGAGATTCAGGTTCATCCGACGTTTTCATTGTTACTCATATTTTGGTTTGAACTTTCAAGGACAGAAACAAAGCATTGATATTTTGTTTAGTTATTACTGAAATTTGATCTTTTGATGTTATTAGCGCGCATTGACAGCAACTGCTTGACAATAAAGTAATTATTTAAAGAATATTTGTTTGTATATGTAAGCATAGCACTCCGACTAATTAAAATCGTTTGAATAGACTAAGTACCGTTCATCCTACGTGTGTAAATACCATATATAAGTATATATAAGTATATCACCAAAAGATTTGATATGAATATATATAGTCGGTTCTGCAATATCATTTATAAAAGCAGTTCCTTCAAAAATGAAGATTTTATTGAAATTGAACGTAAATAAACCATAATTTTATTTAAAAATAACGTATTATTTTTTTTTAATTCTGTACTTCATCTATGTCATTCACTTCATATATTTTTTGCACAATTACTGGCAATAATTATTACGATAAATAAAATCGAGAAAAAAATTTATTTTAATTTGAATTAGTCTATTTATTATAGTTATTTTATGAATATAATGTTCAATTTTTATTAAAAATATTTACAGATAAATATTCTATATAAATATTGTTTACCACATTTCAACTATAAAATACCTATAGATTGGTAATATTCACTTGTGACGTCAACATGTGGCGTATATATTTATAAATTATTAAAATAGATATAAATAATTATAATTCATTAATGTCTGCTCAATTTATAAATGTTATTATATTCGTTCAGTTGTGATTATCTATTGCCCTTAGCAATTGGCCCATGAAGTTATTCTAAACGCTGATTTGCAGCATAAAATGATATCCACAGTGAATTTTTATCCAGAAGTAGGTACACCGTTCATGTTTATTACTATCTAATGCCATCTTATTATTCGTGAATATTTCATCAGATACATGCAGATTTTCACAGTTTCACGCATGATATTGGACGGAAAATTCAAATTTAAACAATTCTTCGTCATTGTAAACTGAGTGTCTATTATTGACAACGGATAGAAAACAACAAAATTAAGCAGCTAGTTTCATTCCTTATCTGTTATAGAAGTGAGTGTATGTCTAGTTTAATATTGTTTATATGATTCTTGATTAGATGATATACCATCATCATAGGATTTCCGAGTTAATTAAACGGCTAGCCGTAAAAACATTTTCAGTTGTTCTACTGGGTTACGGAAAATCAAGCATAGCGCTGCTGAGATCGCTTGAAATATATTTAAAAATACCGTTGGAACTGTTTGCTTTTCGCTACATTTTAGTTTTGTTTGTTTAGAAGAAATTTTGAAACAACTTTATAACTCAAACTTTGATGAATTTTTTTAATATGACGATCGCCTGATGTATGAAAGAGTGACTCAATATATAACTGAAAAAGTATGAAACGTTTTTGAAAGTTTTTATTTATTTATGTGTTGAAATGTGTAAAATAACGCATTGTATCGAAAACTCTCTAGAAAGGTTCTGTAGGTAACAAGTCACATCATAAAACTGACGCACTGCTAAATAATATATGTGATAATTTTACGACAATATCCGTCGTGAAATTATCATTTTTCAATTAAATACGTCACAAAATGTATAATTAGATCATTATTACATTGAGTCGAAAATTATGTACACATCAAAAGCTACGTAACTGCCATGCAACGTAATTGATTCAAATTTTAGTTCCTATAACATTTTGAGAAATGCTGTAAAATAATTAACGTCATTACCTTCTCTTGCAGTAACTGAAATCATCTGAGAAGCCAAAAACCCACGCTTTCAATAGAGTTTCATGTAACATTATTCAGTATTAGCAGTACATATTATCACCAGAAATATAGTCAGATTTGGAGTTATACAAATAATATTTCTTTTTTTTATTAGAATACAATCCGCATAGTACTCCTATTCAAGTCGAGGGGACTCATTAATACTTATAATCTTTATAAAAAGACATCTTATTTAGTGAGACTTATGTTTTATGTGGTGTTTAGTTCATTTGAAACGCTGTCGTGATAGAGAACCAAACATCAATATTGTTTCATTGTATTATTTAATTGAAATAACAAGAAGCTCTAAAAAATGCGGAAACATACATTTAAATAAAGACGTTTTTTATGTTTATTATACCAAGTTAGACTAAAAAAATGTTTTCGTGAACGGTACACTCAATGCACTTTCTTACAATGGACTGACTTTTAGCGTTATTTTTTACGGACAATCAAAAATATTTAAATTGAGATAAAAATATTAGGAAAGAAATAAAATTAATTTTTAATAAATTTGTCTACATTGTAAAATTATTTTTCAATTATTTAAAAAATATTCCAACTAACTATTCATATAACGGTGTATTCATCATATAACGGTGATAAGTTTATTAACTTGACTGTTTTAATGATTTGAAATTATTTCTCATATTGGTGGTATAACATAATAGCAATGCTCAAGAATACTATTGCTCTTTACGAAAATTTCCAACAAAATTGAACTAAAACTCCAAGTAATTTGAAAAATTATGATGAACTTTTGACGTAGCTTAATGTTAACGTTATATATATATATATGTGTATATATATATATATATATATATATATATATATATATATATATATATATATATATATATATAGCAAATCTCTAGTATTCAATTTTAATTGTAAAAAATAAAGTTTTATCAATTTAGCCTAAAATATAATTTATTAATATATAAATTTAATCTATTATTGTATTGTTGGTAAATTAGTTTATAAGGATGTCACCAAAAAAAAGTTAATAGACTTTTGTTAATTTTATGCTTTATAGTTATTATTCTTATATTTTTAGGTAATTTGACAGGTTTGACATTTTTACCATCAAATAGTCAAGTTTCTCAAAAAGATGTTTTGATTGCAAGTAAGTTAAAAGTACAGTATTTTAGACAGTATTTTAAATTTTCTGTTTATTTAGAAACACGTAAAATTTATTTCTTACTTATTCAAGGAGATATTCTGAGAATAGCAGTACAATGGAGTATAGCCATGGATGAAGATATTTCATCATTCGAAAGATACATGGCTCACTGAAGTTTTATTCTTTTGATAATAAATCAGTTTATCAGGATCTCCTTTTAAGTATTGACTCTTGGGACTAAATCTATTGTTTTTGTTATCAGCTATAAAATTGTCAAGTTCCATACCGAATTGCATGGAGCTTTTGCCCTCTGATCAGACTCAGTTCAATATCTACGTTAGACATCTTCTTAGTGTAGAACAAAGTTTGATGGAAGGATCTTACAAGATCTTTCTTGCCAAAGAAAATGTTTCAACAGCATCTTACAATTTTTTCATTGATATTTTATTGAACACAGTGAGTAATGAAACTGGAATATATATGGAGCCCATAATGCCTATTATAAAATTTTAATGTAAGATGCTCAGAGGATGTTGAACTCAGTTTCAAAGAAGGAAATGATTGTTTATGCTAATAAAGAAAATTGGAATCTTTCAAAAGAAAATTATTACCTTTATTTTAGTGCACCAAGTGAAAAGAAAGTGTAAGAACCAATCCTAAGTTCTGATCTAGTTACTCTTACTACTTGGCTATGCAAGAGGACTTGAAATGATTATATAAAAATTTTTGCAACTACAAATTTTTATTAATTATGTTGAAAGTATAGAATAATATTAATTTTTGTACTTAAAAACTAAATTAATTATGAAAGTTAGAATATTAATTTAATAGTGATTATTCATTGTAAATTATACTATATATTATATCATGTACATATATTCTTGTCATTTTTTTACTTGTAAATCAATGTTCAATTTAGTGAATCATTTATACATTTAAGAGTAATTATGAATTTTATATAAGAAAACCTTCAATAACGAAATTTCAAATTCACTTGTGAATCATTCATTTATAAATCAAATCAATTTTAATAAATAACAAATTTGCAATGTAAAAATTCAACGTAAAAAGAGAATCATATTACCAATAATTGCATAGCTGAAAAAAAACTATTTATCTACTCAATATTTGTTATGAAAATTAAAAAATCCTTAAAAGGTAATTCATCTTTTTTAAGTGAATAAGTATCCATATCTTCTCTACATAATTCACAACATACACACATTAAAGCTGCCGCAAAACAACGATCGCTACAGTGTTTATTATAGATGGCAGCATCGGTTGTTTTCTCTCTCTCTCGCTCTCTCTTGGTAGTCGAAGCAAATACATTTGCCATCTACATTTAAAGCACACTCATCACTCGTAAGTCACATTGCTCTCCCTTTCTCACTCGCGCGCGTAGCCAAGGAATCTTCTCTTCTCTCTACTCCATTACTGCGCCTTGTCGCTGCAGTAGTAGCAATAGCAGCAGCAGCAGCTAGTAGTTTAGTAGTGCTACTTGAGAGGAAAAAAATGGAAGCTGAAAGAAAAGTGCTCGACTGTTAAGTTCGTTGTGTACGCAGACTTTTTTACTATCTTACGACGAGTAGTACCTGTTGTGTTTTGGCTTCTGGACAAAATTCGAAAGCCCATACAGCAAACTATACGCCACGCGCGCGCACGCACATACACACTTACACAACGCCTAGAGAAAAGAGAGAGAATGTTGTTCTGCCTCCAAGAAGATAATTCGACGACGTCGCCTTCGCGAAGTCCTTATCCTCTTGGTTCTCTAGGACAGTAGCTGTTCAATATTGCCAAGAAATCAAGTAGTTTGTGTGAGAAACTTGCTAGAGAGAAGAATAGAGACGAGAAACATTCTATTTCTGGATGCTATCGGTGTGTGTTCTCTCTCCCTCCCTCTCTCTCTCTTTCTGTCTCTCTGTCTAAATAGTCACTCTCGGCAAAAGCTGATCACTTGTTGACGAGGTACACCTGCTTCTGAAGATGTTGATTGAGAGCATTTTGACGCTTCAACGCTTTTTGTGATAGGTTAAGAAATTCGATTGTTGTGTGAATAGCCAGTACTTTGGCTTGTGGAAACATTATTGATGAAGCATTTTGGGATTGTATGTCCATTGATAGATATTCTCTTATTGACTGTGCTTAGGAAACAACTGAGTCAAAAAGGTATTGGAATGATTTATGCTTTATTCAATTATTTACATGAAAAGTATTTTATAGACAAAAATTAATTCTAATATTAAGACTTGTAGCTGTATCAAAATTGTTAAAATAGAGCTCTCAATTAAAAAAAAATGCAATTTCTAATAAATTTGTTGTCACAATTATTATGAGTAAAAGAACGAAATATTTGTTTATTATTTTACACATTTATTTAATAATGTTTCAGATTATTAATTGGTATAAAAAAATTTATTTTGGCAAACAAGTTTCATCAAAATTAAAAAAGATACGTTTCAACATTGTTATTGTAAGTAGCAGTAATTTTTTTTATAAATATTATTAAAACAATATGTTTTATCCGTTTTTATTTATAGGTCAAAAGTATCATGGTAAACTATTCCTAATCAGGCAAAGAGACATTAAAAAGATTTGAAAAAAAAAATGTGAATTCACATTTATGAATAATACTAGAGTATAAAAGTTAATTGCTAAATTACAATGCTATTGTAATTACTCAGTTTTCCTATGATTAGTAATACCAAGTACAATCTTAGAAATATAATACAAGGTACTTGTATTAAGTGAAAGACAGCTTATTGATATATAAATGGTTCTCTTGCAATTTAACGAAAATTGCAAAATTTGGAATAATTTTCCAAAATATAAATAGAGTCCTATATCAAATCAAGTAAATAACTCTATTCCAAAAGGATGGCATATCGAATATCCTTGGAGTGTGGGGATTCCTCCTGCTTGAGAGCCAAAAAAACCCAAGAAGGTTATACGCATGACTGGGAAGTGTTTATAAGAGGAGTTGACAACGCTCCAATCCACCATTACATCGATAAAGGTATGCAACATATGAAATATGATTATTATATTATTCTTAGATAAATTTATAATGAAAAATAAATATTTGAAAATATTAAGTGTGTTATTTAATTGATAAGTTTGCACGTGCTTTATTTCAGTTATCTTTAATCTTCATGAAACATTTCAAAAGCCAAAGCGAGTAATTAAGGAACCTCCTTATGTTTTGAAAGAATCCGGCTATGCCGGGTTTGATATTCCAATCGATATTTATTTGAAAAATAAACATGAACCTAAAAGGTTCCAAATTATGTACAACTTATACTTGGAACAAAGTGGTCCAGCAGTAAGTCATGTATCGCATCATAATCAAACGTTCTACAGTCCTTCGGATGAATTTAGGAAAAAATTACTCAAAGGTGGTGCTGTAAGTAACTATTTCATTTTAATCTTGAGTTTATTATGTAATTTTCTATTTGATATTCATAATAAAATTCTTTTCCAGACGCCTATTTCTAGTACTGAAAGTGCATCAGAAAAAAGCGATGTGAAAACTCTACCAATGGTAGGAAAACCTAAGCTTAGTGGCAATGATAATAAAAAGCATCGGTTACCCGAGCAGAAGCTAACCAATTCTTTTATGGATATATTTGGGGACCCTGTTAAGACTGCTAAAGTATCCTTAGAAAAGAAACCTGTAGAAAAAGCTGTAAGTTCTAAAACCACTCTCCCAGTCCCTGAAAAGTCTGACAAAATTGATAAGAGTACAAAGCCAAAACATAGTCCACATAAAGATAGCAAAAAGGATAAGTCATTTGAAGAGAAGAAGGAAAAGAAGGACAAAGAAAAGGATACTCTTAAAGATAGAGATAAAATTAAAGACAAATCCAAAAGGTCATCGAGCCCCAGTAGTAATAAGGTAAGATAATATTTTATTATTAAAAATATCTAAATTTCAATAACTTTGGCGTTCGGAACGTTTTATAGCCATAATGTTACAAGTTGATATGACTAATTTTTTATTTTTTGCTATTTATAAAAATTAGTGATAAAAAATAGGATTGTCCATTGCCCAAAAACCGGAAAGGTATTTTTTTTCTTTTCCAGACCGATTTACGTGTTCGTTGGCTGAATAACGCTCAACGTTACGGCTAAAGCTGTCATAGTTAAAAAATACTAGAAAGATATTTGCTGATTGTAATTTTCATTGATTTCTCGTACATTTACTGATAACAAAAGAAACTAACTAGTTTTTAGTAACCGGTAAGGGGTATTTTGAATTGAAGCAACATTTTATCAGGTATGGTGGGTGAATAAGGTCTCGCGCGCCACAGCTGTTATAGCTTGAAACATCATTTTTATTTTTGTTGGTTTTGACTTCTATTGATAAATTGTCACACAGCGCAAGAATGCATTTAAACAAACGAGAAAGCATATTATGGATTTCCGAAATGTTTTACGTCACAAAAAATAAGAGCGCTGCAGATGTCATTTCATCAACGAATCGTGAATTTACTTATTCTTTTTGTAATTTTTACTTTCAATGTAGAAAATAATAAGCGATCGCAAATAGTTTGTAATAAGCGGAAAAGTTATCTTTACTGTCTACTCTGAACAAATAATATTAGGCAATTATTGAAGTGCACTTGTTACATGATATACTATTATAATAGTCATCATTCAACAAATTATTACGACTTTATTGATAAATATCGCAATAATTTTTCCATATTGATATGTGTTGATGTTTTTTGTAATATTTCATAAAATTTTTTTATTCAAAAATCAGTAATTATAATAATGTTTGCATTTGATTTTTATGAAATAAAAATTAAGAATTTAGTGATATCTCTATGTACAGATAAACATTATATTATTTTTGTATTATGCCAGTTATATTGGTACCGTTTTAAGTATTCATTTTGTTTTTTAGAAAATCAATAACAGTTTGCACACACATACGCTCACACGCGCGCGCATATATATATTTACAGAAAATCGCTTAAAAAGAATAACAACGTAACGATAATTTTTAAGAATAATTTCAATAATGTACTCACTCTTTTTTTTTATTGACTGGCTTGTCAAACTTGTCATCGCGGAGTTATCAAACGAATCTATTTATTATATTAGTCATAAATAATATTACAAAGTAAACAAGAACAGTATAGTCACTTTTTATACAAGTTACGGTTCTAAAGTCGCGAAATTCGATCAATAGTGCGAATACGTTTTCTTTGTGTTTCAGTCATAAACAATAAAAAAATGCCCTTGGAAAAATTTATATGCGCTGTTAGATATGTATCTGCTAATATATTGAAATTTATGTTTGAATAATGTTTTCTAAAGAGATTGGTAGATCCGCCAACGAGACGTTAAAATTTTTTCACTGTGTCTTGGCCTATATTGATCCAGCGCAATTGAGTACATTATTTAAATTATTCTTCAGAATTGTCAATGATACAGTTGATTGTTTATTTTAAAATATACGAAATAACAAACATCATGGCTGTAGATAGTCTGATATCACTAGTATATTCTTGAGTTTTTCATAAAAAATGAAACGCAAACATTTCTGTAACGGTTACTGATTTTTTTACTAAAAAAACTGAATGCAATATTACAATAAAATATTATAAAACATACGCACATTCACACGCACACGCACACACACACAATCATTAGTCGGATTTAATCGGTAAAAAAATAAAATATTACGATAACCCCTTTAGATTCAAAATGTGCCTTACTGGTTATTTGAAACTATTTAGTTTCTTTTGCTACCACTAATTTTACTAGACTATTTACTAGATAATTTACTAGACTATTTACAAGTCAAAATCAGCAAAAGAATTAATAGTATTTTCGAGCTATGATGGCTCCAACCAACGACGTTGAGATCATGCAGCCATCGAATCATATCAATCACTCTAAAACGAAAAATATACTTTTCCGGTTGGTGAGCGATAGCTAGCTTAGTTTTTTTTCACTGATTTTACCAGCAGGAATCTAAAATAACGAGAAAAAAAAAGAATTAACCATTCTGAGTGGTGTTGAGACTGCGACTTCTGAAGTGCTGAGTCATGTAATTGCAAACATTACAATGAAAATTGACATTATCATTTTTTAGATAAGTCATCATAGTTCCGAAAGCAAAAGACCTTCTTCATCACCGACATTGATGAAGAAACCGACAACCCCACCACCAATCCCCAAAAGACCATCTTCACCGTCTTCAAAATTGAAAGAAAAAGAAAGTAGAAAAATAACAGAGCCTGAAAAGGAAAAAGAAAGATCCAAAGAAAGTATGAAAAGTAATACAGACGAAAGTAAAAATGAGAAAGAAAGTAAAAGTGAACGTAAGAAGGATAAGAAGAAACATAAGGAAGATCGAGATAAAGAGAAGAAAGAGAAGCATAAAGAAAAAGAAAGAGAAAAAAGTAGAGATAAAGAAAGCGTGAAAAGCTCGGAAAAGAAGATCGAAAAACTCGAAAAATCAGAAAAAGAGAAATTATTGGAAGTGAAATATTCAAAAGAAGAAAGAAAGTCGCCAAAGCTGGTCAAGGAAGTTGAGAAGGTCAAGGAAGAAAAAATCGTGAAAACAGAGAAGATCGAAAAACATAAAGAATCTAAAGGGGAAAAATCAGATAAATCAAAGCACAAACACAAGAAAAGAGACAAAAAAGATAGAAGAGATGGAAGTAGAGAAAGAGAGAAAAAAGAAAAACGAGAGAAATCAAAAAGTTCCATGGAAAAGCACAACGAAGTTACCAATCATACTTCTACCTCTTCGGTAAGTTTAATTGATGAATTAGAGTCTAGTAATTATGTAAAATGATTAATTATGTATATTTAGGCCACACTTCGCGTATCCGAGACACAAAGTCGAGAAAGCAGCGATTCCGGATCCGATGATGAAGATTCAGTTAGCAAAAATAGAACGCCTAACCCAGTGAAAAAAGAATCGGTCTCACCGTCTCCTCCGTCAGAAATGCTTAGGTCTATGTCTCCTCCACCACCACCGGTTAATGATCCTAAAAAAGATAAGAGCGATAAAAAGCGTGAAAAGTCAAAGAGTAGCCGAGAGGATAAGGAGAAAAAGAGAAAGAGAAGGAGTGAAAGTAAAGGTCAGTTTCATTCCATAACAATTCGATTAAATACATAATGACTTTTGGAATTTCTTCATATAATAAATAAAAACCGAGGTGACGAGTAGAAAAAAACGTTTTAACGTACTAATTTTTCTTTGAATTTCGATACACTAATATTTTTGTTGAATTTATTCTAATTATAATGGGACTGTTTTCAAAACTGTATACCTCTTATCCTCAAAATATTTTTTTAACTTAATGGTTATAAGCAAAAGCGTTGTATAAATAAATGATTCTAATAATGACGTCTTACAAAATGTGTCTTACAAAATTAGATTACTACTATCAATACAGCCAAAGAAATTATCCTGCGCGATATTTATTTAAAATCATATTGTATGATCCTTCAAGTTGACTGAGAGTATAATTGTTTTCATGTTTTTTTTAGGCTTGGACGATGAAGTTTCAATCAAGAAAATAAAATCCGAACGTGATCACTCAACCTCGCCATTAGTAGAACCAGTGTCATCAAGTCAATCGCCTATAGCGGCGAACCTCGATGCACTGCATTCGAAGATAAAACATGAAGCTGACATGACGATGGATATAGAGCCAGCAATGGGCGACAGTGAACAAGTGGCTCCAGATTCGACCAACAGTACACTGGTTGACACAGAAGAACCACCGGTCTTTTCCGAAGACTATGTATCTCAGCTGAAAGATCTTCAGCAGAAGATTATGACTCTGCAGGATAACCAGGAGCTTCAAAGAGTTGTGCAAGTGATCGCCGAGACTGGACAATACGAAATCACGAAGAAAACCTTTGACTTCGATTTGTGTGCACTGGATAGGAGAACGGTCGCGCGACTGCAACAGTTTTTTGCCTCGTGACCGACGACTGAACCTCAAACGATAACTCATTAACGAAGAGAGATTCAAAGAGAGATAGAGCTTTTGTGGATAGAAGCTTTACGAGTTGATTTTGATACTGAATCAGTGGTTACTTAATGACCTTTAAAATAAATTTTATATAATAAAGTTTTTTTTAATTTCATCTACGTTTATTTTCAGGTATGTTTTATCTAATAAATATCGTTAATTTTATTTGACTTTCTACCATTTTCTTATAAAATATGGTTGAAACTAAAAAATTTGATATTTCAAGTTTAACCAAAGTTTTAATTGGAACTTACAGATTTCCATTACATATCACTGGTTTGTTATCAAATTTAATCGTAAAATTCTCAACGCACTATAATAGGTTTAAATTTGTAAATAGACTTTTACCATAATTAAACATTTAAGTCCATTCATTGTGAGGTTCGCTATATGTATCGAAAGCAGGGCAAAATAATTTAAATGTGTATAAGGCGCAGATTATATTCATTCAATAAGAGCTTATCGTAATTAACTTCGAAATTTTCTTTCAAACTTTTTCTGTATTCAGTATTTCATTCAGCACCCCATCGAAAACACGTATTATTAGATTATTAAATTTGATCCCGGAGTAGATTTTTTCTTTAACAAACGGGTAATAGTACATTACGATACAAGTGCGGGAAAGTAGATTCTTGTCTCATGTAGCGTTTACGCCCGAGCGAAGCGAGGGTGGAAAGGTACACGAGACGAGAAACTCTTTCCCGAACATGCACCGTACCGTATTTTTTAATATGGCGTGTGGAAAGTGCGATTTTTAACGCACGTTTTTTGCCGAGCGTACGGAAAAAACGCACTTTCCGCACGGAGTGTCGAAAAACTAAATACAGTGATATTATCTCAAAAAAATTATTTGAAACTTCTATCTTTTATATAGTTAGAAAAGTGTTGTTGATCTTATTAAACAGAATGAATTGATTATTTTGTATATTATGTCAAACAAAATAGGGAAAATTTAGTTTCGTTTTAAAAATGTTTTTAAATTAATAACATCATGTTATTTAGGAAAAATAATTTTATCACTGATGTTTCTTCATACCAACGATGAAATTAACATTTATACAGAACTACATCACAATAATAAATATGTAAAATTATTGTAAGACAAATAACTCATAATATTCTCAGTATGTTCGTAACATTTTTGAAATTACAATGTTAGATTAATTAGCACACAACAAAAATTAATACTGATAGCTCTTACTATCCGTTTAAAGTAATACTGAGAAAACATTTTTTTTTGACATAGTACACCAGTAATGAATTGTCGAGTCTAAACTTTCTAAGTCTTCTGCCGTCAATCAAAATAAGTGAGATTGATAATTGAACCATGGTGTAAACATAAAAGGCAGTTCCCTAAGCATTTAAATGCACAAAGAAACATAAAGGATGTAACAATGCATCAACATAGATCAAAATTTTAATGTATATATAAATAGATAGATATTATGAGCATTTTAATGATTTCAATGAAGCATCCAGATTTTTGAAACATATGTCGAATAAATCTCAAAACATGTTTTAATTGTACGTTACATAGATAATTTCTTATTATTTGTAATATTTAACGAAACAGAATATCAAGATGAAGATATTAGTAGTACAACATGAGATACACAGGGAAAATTTTTCAAGCAGCTAAAATAATTTTTTCATAATTGTTTTTAGAATATTATGTCGAACCCATGCCATATGCATTATGTTAATATTGGATTCATGCATGAATGTTATAAATATAAACGATCTTATACAAGTAGAATTGCTTTTTACTAAAGATATATAATAATAAATATAAATTTCATTGTTCAATATTTATAATAAAATTTTTCTTTCATTAGTAATTCTTTTTGGATATACTTGCGCTACTCATTGTGAGTGAATTTTTAGCAGCTAATGTAAATTATCTGTTAAGAGAAAACTTCGATATAATCTGGTAAAGTTACAACAAAAACTTTGAGCGTTATAGATATTGAAATCAAACAACATAACTGAAATGATCTTATAAAAAATAGGATGTGAAATCGAGAAAAATATGAGCCTATTATAAATAGAGCTTATAATTTATGTAAACAGAAATATTTTTTCAGGGCACTTTTAAATTATTACAAAACAAAGATGAATATTTCTTGTACAACCAACAATATCTTGTACCATTTAAAAATACCTGTAATGTGGCAGCGAGTAATACTGTAATAATGTGTATTGAGTATATTGTAAGCTCATGTGCCAAAATGTATCGAAAAAGTTGTAGGAGCGGTGGCATATTTAAAAAGTTTGAAAATTCATTTATCAGTAGCTATCATTAAAATCTTACATGTTTGAGCGCTTTATCTAGGGGATATATTTTTTTTTAACTTTCGTTGTCGGTAGCTCAAAATATACACGAGTCTACAAATGATGTTTTGAGAAAAGACATGTGAAATCTATTCATAGTCTCTGCTGAAAATATCTTTTATTTGGATTATAACGCCGAAAATTTCAAAAATATGATCGAATATACATTTTAAATATAAAAATATCAAGTCATGAGCTATAATTATACTGGAGTTACGCGAAAATATCAATCTCAAAAAATAAAATATGAATTTAATGAAGCACTGATAAAACAATCAGTGCTGCAAGAACCCGTCGGAAAATATTCGAATGCGATGAATGATGCTCGAAATCTAAATTAAGATTATACTTGCATCGAAAAAATTTAAATTATGAATATGAGAAGAATGATCTCCCAAAGAATTAAATATAGCCGTATTGAGATCGTTTTCCTCTGCGTCACCATTATACAATTTCTCTTGTATATACACGGAAAAGTACACGTGCTAATGCATGCACCAAAAAAAAGAAAAAGAAAACGGAAAAAATAGGTATCGGGAGAAATGCATTTTCTAATGGTCGTAATTTTTGTATACAGTAAATTTGTACGAAAAAAGAAAACAATCGAGAGGTTTTTCGACAGTGTTTACTTTTTTGAGCTTTTTAATTATGTTCAGATAAGTGGAAGTCATTCGTAAACACACAATGTAGTGTACTTAAGAAATAAGAAACTAATTTTTAGAAAATGTCATAGATCTCCAAATGCGTTTACCGTTGCTTATATATATGATGATTGTGTTCATTGTATATTTCTATAGGTAAATATACATAAAACGGATAAATTGTCAGCTATTTTCTGAGTGCATGCTATCGTAATGCGAGATAAATTAGCTCATGTTACCCGCACTGAAGTGCAAAGAAAAAAATTAACACAGACGACATACGCATTAGAAGCAAATTTGCATGTGTGCTTTTCGAGTACCGTATGTGTTTGTTGTTATATATAATTAACGTTGATATTGTGTTGCGTCTCCACTAACCGATGGATAATTTATTTCTGTTATAATCCTACGGTAATTAAATCGTAAAAGTACGAACAAATTGAAAGACAGCAAAATTGAACGAAAAAGGGAGAAAAAATGTAAAAGTTATTTCGCTGAGTTTTGTCATGATATGTCTATTCTCGGCTCGATATACACGTAACAACTATCGTATATACGTTTCTCTCGACTGATGGCATAATGATGTCTGCGTAAAGAGGAAAGACTTGATCAATGTACAGTGTTTTTTCATTTCTATTTTCTTTTTTTCTTTGTTATTTTATTTAGTATTTAAACACAATAAATACAGTATAAATGATTAACGAATGATTGTACCTAATTACATGTACGAATAATATGAATATAATTATATACATACGACTTTAAATCATCAGTTTTAAAAAGATTCTCGGCATTTGTTCTATAAAAAAATTAAAAAAAAACAATTTTCCACGGCTAGCGCATTCGAAGAAAATAAACATTCATTCGTTTATACGCAATGAAATTTATAAAATTAATACGTAAGATTTATTAAATTAAGTATATACCTACACAAATAAAGTTCGAATCCGTGAAATAATTCAGTTCTTCTTAGTTTTTACCTGGATATTTACCTTTTTCGTTTCTTCCATCAATATTAAATAACAAATCATTATAACAATTTGTATATAGGCACCCTGACATTCTATGATTTAATTAATCTGGATAACATAAAGCATGAAAAATTTATATTCAAAATTACTCCATCTAGTTATGCTTTTGTATAGTTAAACAGAAATAAAAAGTAATGCAGATACAACGTCGCTCATCAAAACAAAGGCGATCAAGACAATGAAGAATTAATAATGACGAGCGTAAAAATAACACTGCAACAAACTATGGTATGTGCTCATTAAATGTGCAAGCATTGGGAGCTCAAGAAAGAATAGAAGCAATATATAATTTTAATTCAAATTTTTTAGTATGATTGCGTGATTTCGTGAGAAAGAGCTGAAGAAGAGCGCTATAATGAATTTCATCAAAAGTAGAATTTTACCCTCAATGACAATTTTTCTGGTATAGCGTATCTCTATTTATCTCTGATACAATGTTTTTATTTTCTTTGATTTCTTTTTTGCGCGCGCTCGTATTTTTGCCAGGAATTTACTATCGCTGGTAAGGTAATCAGTATCATTCGGTGTCAAGACGACTAAGATCGTTTATGTTACATTGGGATACTATTTTTTAGTATTTTAAAGAGGATATTGATCAAAGTTGTCGGAATAGTTTTTCGTTTCTTATGCCCTGCCTAATAGTATATTAGGAGTAAGTTATTTGTATTTTAGATATATCCTTAATTGTCCAGATGTGCTATGGACTTTTCAATACTTTCCCGGCCTAAGTACATAATCTATTTTTTTTTTCAAGCCAAATTTTCGACTTGATTAAATATTGTAATCTAGTTCTATTTCTTTCAAATGATGTTTGGTTGAGTTATTGAGCGTATACTCGGTGATCCAAAAGTCCCGGAACGGCCGAAACAGCGAATACGGGACGAAATTGTTACTATTGAACCGGACATGATATAAGGGCTGTATCAAACTTTTATGATCGCATGGCAATTTGTCAAGAAGTTGGCGGTAATTATTTTGAACACTTGCTATAAAGTGATAGTCTCAACCTTGCGTTCATTGACTGCGGGTAAATGTTTAACCTTGTCTTAATTGATTGGGTAGATCCTCCATCTATCTTTAACTGGCTGGGTGAAAGATTAACCTTGCCGTAATTGGTTAAGTTATTGCTAACCTTGCCTTATGACTAGGTTAATGCCATAAAATGCCTTAACTGACTGGGTTAATGCATAACGTTGCCTTAATTGGCTGGAAAAATACATAACCTTGACTGAATTGTCTGGGTAGTCCCTTCGTTGCTATAACTGATTGGGTAGACCCTCTATCTTGCTATAACTGGTTAGGTCAATATATGACCTTGCGATTACCGGCTGGGTAGACCTCTATCTTGCCTAAATTTGCTGAGTTAATACATAACGTTGCTTTGACTGGTTGGGAGAATTCATAAGTTCGCCTTAATTGATTGGATAAATAAATAACCTTGCCTTAACTAACTGATAAATACAATACTCTGCCTTAACTCAGTTGTTAGATCCTCCATCTTGCCTTAACTTACTGGGTAGACCCCCATCTTGCTTTAAGTGGCTGGTTGGAATCTTAACCTTTCCTTTAACTGGTTGGGCAATTGCATAATCTTGTCTTGATTGGATCGGTTCATGCCTATTCATGCCTTAACTGGCTAGGTAGATCTCCCACCTCACTTTAACCTGCTGGGAGAACTTGTCTTACTGTCTTCTTATCTTACTGGGTGCCCCAGCTTGAAGTTCGTGGTCAAGGCCATATCTAAACCAAAAATGTTATGCTCTTCTCATTTCATGGATAAAAAGTACGGGAATCCATTTAAAAAATCACCTAGACCTCTCAATGACCATGAAGGTCATGGTTGGTTAAGGTCATGGTCGGGGCCATCGCTAGATAGCTAAGGAAAAATCCTATAACTTTTGTTCGAAACATTTTTCGCTAAAATGCAGTCCTGCTAAGTTATTCCGCCGTTCCAGGACTTTTGTATCATTCGCTATAGTCAGGCTCGATACGAGAGAATGGGATGAATAAGAGAAGTTAGAAAGGTTCATGCCACAAACACCTGCCTCCGAGGCTTGGTATGTGCGGGTCATTGTACGGTCTTATAAATGCAACGAGCGCGCATCCTGCCGCTCGCGGGCATATTAACGTAGTCCAGTGCAAATGGACGAATCACAAGGATGTGAAAGATATTTATAATTTTTCAAAATTCAAAATGGCAGGTTCAAAACGTGAAAAATATCGATTATCTGAAAATCATCGTTTTTTTCCGTTTTCGACAAGGTATCGTCAATTGCAAGGTATAAAATCTATTATTTTAAATTCAAAATAGGTTTATTGATCTCTATGTTATAATGAGTTGCTTAAATAATTATTAATTTCAAAAGTAGCAAGTTTCTTTTCGAATTTTCTATTTTTTTACCGAAAGAAATACATAAAGTATATACCAACAAAATAAAATTCACACACCCTAAATTCGATATTTATAAGTTTAAAAATATTAAACTTACACATCTCAGTCAGCCAATAAAAATCTGTTATAATTCAGTCATAAAAATGGTTTCTAGAATGCATTAGCGTCGATAACATTTAAAAACTGTAAAACTTAGGAATTTTAATATGCGACGTCTTAATAAGAAAAAGCTATTTCGGCCAACTTAATGACATTCAATAGAGGGAAACTTGCACTTTAAGATCATACGTATTGATTTTTAGAAAATAAATGTCTTTACTATATAACCTTAAATATGATGAAAAATAGTGTTTTTTGCATTTTTATTTTAGGATATTTCAAAGAATTGACCTGATTGAGCAATTCTAGGGCTAAATTCACACGAAAATATTTCTGGAATATATATTCAAGTTTCTATTGCCAAAAGCAAGTTCAATTTTGTTGATCTATGTAATTAGTTGGAAATAGTCAATTGATATTTCCAAATCGGAAAAATTTTAAGCAGAATTTGAAATATTGCAGTTATAGTACAGCGGACCTGTCGATGGCATGTCTTGCTCGTTCGTGCTCGTGCTGCTATGTCATGTTATGGTTTAAACTTCAATTTCTCAATTTCTATCTAATATTTTCCATTATTGAAAGTATTTGAGAGCTCCCGTATGACACAATCCGTGTTTTCAAACCGCCACAAGGTTTTCGCGAAGCCGAATGTAATTATTTATGAAAAAGAAATGTATTATTGTTAGTCAAGATGCCCTATCCTAAAAATGCAATGAAAAAGTCAAAAATTAATTTATTATTATAAATAACGCAATCCGTGTTTTTGAACCGCCAGAATTTTCACAAAGCTGAATGCAGTTATTCATGAAAAAGAAATATATTATTATTAGTCAAGATGCCCATATTCTGAAAAAGCAATGAAAAAGTCGAAAATTTATTTATTATTATTACAATCAACGCAATCCGTGTTTTAGAACCGTCATAGCTTATCGACCAACAAATTTTTAAATCAAATTTTTTTATAAAAATTTCATGTATCTATTCAATCAAAATGGTCACAAAGTGCCACAAATTCCTTAAACTTTTAATGAAAATGAAACGAAATGAAATTTTTTTTACACTTCACAATCGTTTTTCTCCTAAAGTATCAATTTTTGCAAGAAGGTTCTAAAAATCAAATCGTCTTAAAATTAGTCAAAGAACATGATAAAATTTTTTCAACATTTTTTAAAAACATTTTTAAAAATCTTTTTTCCGACTTTTTGGAGAAATTAAAATTGTGTCGAAAAATTCTGAAAAAAATTTGAGAATGATCCTTACCAAATTTTAAGACATTGACATTGTTGATAAGTTCGTTGTTCTTGAAAAACAATTATTTCTACATTTTTGTGTAAGTTTTTTAGTCTTTTTTTTTATTATTTTTGTTTTTTTTTATTTGGTATTTTTTGTTATTGTTTTATCTTTCCAGTTTTTTACGTATTTGAGTAAACAATGAATAAAAAATACAAAAAATATTGTAAACTTTTTGAAAGAGGTTTTGTGTTTTTCAAACGAATTGTATATATCGTGAATATATATAATTCAGACGTTCGATTACGTATTGTATTGTTTTCTATTCCAGGAGAGGAAACCTCTAAAAAGGTATCAATGATTATATTGGTTTTAATCTCTGACAAAAGTCGTGAAAATTGTCAGAAAAACCAGAGGTTTTGTACGCTTTTAAAAAGTGGAGTTGACGTATCTTTTTTCTATAACTTTATATTATGAAGACGTATTTCCTTTCACTTTCAAACAAAGATAGTTTCCAGTTAATTTAGCCTTTGTGATCACAATGACCAATAAAGTGTAAAGTTAAACTTTTGACAAAATTGGTATAGAGCTACGAAGAACTGTTTTTAATCACAAACAGCCTTATAATTTATTTTAATGATCGTCGAAGAGAAAATACAAGTGTGATGTCGAGAATAATTTTATTTAATTTATAATTTTTTTTATATTAGAATAAAGTTATTGCTGCGTTTTCCAGTGTACATCCTACGCACATAATATAACGTTTTCAAAAATTATGCGCCAATTTAGAAATTATAGAATTGAACATGTTAACGCACTGACTGATTTATCTTATATAATTACTAGTCGCAATTTTGCTTGTGACTTACAAACAGCTATAGGATATCAACGTACTATTTTCGAATATATCATCTGTCTAAGCATCAATGAACTAATAAAGTCAAATCAATTTTTTGGACTAGTTTAAATTAATTTGTGTGAAAAATTTTTAATAGTTTGCATTATAAATGATAGTTACATTAATTTAATTGAAATACGATTTTTTTGTTACATTTATTAACTTTTAATTTGTATTGGTTTCTTGTGGATAAATTAAAGTTTCTATGCGATTTTTGCAAGATGATTGGAAGAATTTGTGACTGATGTAGAAATTATATGCGTCGAGGAATATGATTATAGTGATAAAGAAATTTTTATTACCTTAAAAAATGTTTTGCAGCATATATTTCCAACTTGATGAAAAACTTCATCCGTCATAAATACTCAGTTAGGACAGTTGCTTGCACCAAATATTTAAGAAGTAAGTAACTAACATATTATTTTATCGCGTTCATACGCTCAAATATAAAATATAAGTTTTCTCATCTGGAAGGCAGGTTCACGAGAATGAACTATTAATTAAAGAATCGGTCCAAGACCGGTACACTTATTACAGTATATTAAATATATAAATGTATAATCACGAAAATATTGATAATTTTTTTAAAATCTTGACCAATTTCTTTTAAACTAATACTAGTGAAAAACAAATCGACAAAATTGATGGCAAGATCTACATTTAGCACGCATCAAGCAACATAACGTTTCGCGGGGAGCGAAAGAGTAGAGAGTGCAGATCATGAATGAGACTGTAGAGATGACGCGTACGTGTGTGTGCCGTGAAACGCCTACCTGCATAATATGTATTTGACGATCAGCTGATTTAACAGAACCTGAAGGAACAGCCGTCGTCGGCGATGTACATGTATTCAGTTTACAATGCATGGACTGCTCGTTTCTCCGGCTACTGAACGCAGACACGTTGACGATCGTTGACAGCCTAACCGAAGGTAAACATACCGCGAGATAACCTTACCACGAGCATTTGTTTTGTTTTTTATCGTAGAATCATCGCGCAATATTGCAACTCGGCTGGACAGTGGGTCGTTATCATTCTTTTTTTTTCACTCTCGTTCTCTATTGTTTAGCTTATTGTCAGGCACGCGAGGGCACGCGTTTTTCTAGGTGATTTCTGAAAGTGCATACAATTCAAATGAGTAATAGCCTTGCTCAATCATCATGCCGTTCCTATTTTTAATTTGTAAACACAAACGACTGATGCTGTTGCTGTGAACTGAGTGCTCGTTTAACGTGTTATGTTTCGCGATGATAGGATATTACCCAAGGAAATTGCATTGCTGATGACTCAGAGATAGGACAACTACATTATCTAGCAGGATGTCCAGTGAAGCCACTATTGACAATTACACCAGAGAGAGATGGCAGTTGTTACAGAGTCTCCGTTCTACAGTTGAAAGCCTCCTGACTAATGGGGTGTCCAATGTCTGGAATGTTTATGGAGGCCTTAATCGCTTGCATAACGTTATGGAGAAAATATTCAAGCATGGTTGCAGGATATTTGATACTAAAGTAAGTTGTTGCACTTAACAACTTGATTTCAAATACATAATTGTGATTACCAGTGTGATTCATATTTTCAATTAGATTTTTCATTCTGTAGTTGAGAAAATAATTTCACATTTCAACAATCATTTTATATCATATAATTGTTTTTTATAACAGGGAGAGCCTGATTTTTGGACTTTTATTCAAGGGTTGAATTGGTTACAACCTTCATTAGCTACTTCTCCGACAATACGTGACTGTGATGATTACCATGCAAATTTGTGCAGTAGAATAGTTTCTCACAAAGATATACTCTGGTTGTATAAAAGGTATTTATTTACATTTATTAAAACTATATTCATGATCTGCAAATTCAATTTTTATCAATTTCAGTTTGGAAGATCATTCTTTATCTCAGAAATTATCATGGCTTTTGTCTGATAAAGAGCATTTACTTTCCTGTCTTGAACCGTGGGCCTTTCTTTGTCAAGAAAATCTTGCTGAAGCTACGCTTGTTTGTTTGAGAGCTGTTGAAAAAAATCAGCCAACTCTCTTGACTGAAATTGACCCGTCTTTGGTAAGAATAATGTTTTTTACTACAACCTTTAATAGATTTCTTATAATAAAGATTATGTTAGAATTTTTTCTTATTTTAATTTGGAATAAAACACAAATTTTAAATAAACTTTTGTATTTTTTTAATTTACTATATTAGCTTTTTTTCAAATTTATAGTAGAAAAGAGACTATTAAACAAATTGAACTATCAGTACTTTGTTCATTTAATTTTCAAAGAACTCATCAAGCATAGCATATGAAATATGTGGAATTTGTATGCTTTAATATTTGTTTTCTATTGCATCATGGTGAAATAAATCTTACAGAAAAATTAAAATAACTGACTTTATTGTTAGTCACTGATAAACTATTTAAGGAAACTAATAATTTTATTCTTGGGATAATATTAATTTACACAATTTTCCAGAAAATGATGGTTACAATTATTGAATGATGATAATTTCACAATATGTGATTTAATTTTTAAGATTCTTAAGTCATCAAATATTTATGGCATTCATATTCTCTTCGATTAATTAATAAAGTTTTTTTGGCATATAATTGTTAACATGTAACTAATTATATTTTAACTTTTATGATTATCAGTTAATCAAAACATACATATGTTTCCAACACAACATATTTCTGCTACTGAAATCATCAAAATAGATTAAAATTTAGTACACAGTATCAAAATGTAGAACTTTTCGCCATAGGACTGCTAAAAATAGATATTCGTTCGTACGATTTTGTTTTAAATGCTTTAACAAAGTCAAATATCTATTCCGAGGAAAAACAAATTGATATCTTTTTTAAATTAAATAAGAAATATCTGCTTATAGCATCACTAAATTACAATTGTTCAGAAAAAATAAAATCAAGCGTTATGTATATTATAGATTCAATATTAACATACAAATTGGAGAAATTAAGCTATATATGAAAGTATGTCAGTGTAAATGTTTATAAAATTGTTCCGAATGTAACGAGGATAAGTATGTATTTATGATAGTTACGCAATTGTCGATAGATAGATATGCCCGTAAACACATTACTACATCAGTTTAGCAACTTTGAAAGTTATATTCACATAGTAACTCTGGTGACTAAAATAATTTTATTATCCCTGTTAAAGATATTTTAATGATATCTTTAAGATATTTGTGACTGGAAAAATTCACGGTGTGAAACCCATGAATAATTAGAAGCAAAATCACTTACATAAACGAAAGTAATTTAGTTTTACCAAATGTTTAAAATTAATAAATGGTTACTGCGCAAAAAAAATTTTAATAGTGTCTCAGAATTTTCAAAAAAATATAAGTTTAGTAAAATGAGTCAGATTTTTTCTCAGACTTACCAATATGAAGAATACCAAGTCTGGTAAAAGTTCAACATAGTAGCTAAAGCCAAACTTTAGCCAGACTATAACTAGACTTATTTTTACATGGGTGGTTATTTACATTTTAGTAAGGCTAAAGTAAACACCACATTTATTTGTTAATTTTAACCAATAACCATGGCAAAACCTTAAAATCCTATGTGTTTAAATTTAAACGTTTTAAGTGTGCAATTCTGACGTCACCCATAAAAAATACATTGTTACTGAATTTAAACGTTTAGTAGTGTTTAAAATTAGTGACAATGTATTTCTCGTGGGTGACGTCATATTAAACGTTTAAATTCAAACTTATGGGTTTACCGTGAACAAAAGGCGCAATAAGAGAATGTGCATACAGAGTTTATTATCAATTATATACATGATTAGAAAAAATTAATGTAATAACCATGGATTGGGATCGGGAAATAAATAATATATTATCTATTAGTCCCGAAAGATCCAGTACCTTTTACGAGCGACCTATGGTTTTTGAGAAATTACTAAAGTTTCGAAAAATGTCATTTTTCAGTGGTTTTACTTTTAGCCAGGACTGAAAAAAGATAATTTTTCAACTTAATTGCACTTTTCACTTGGTTTAGGTGTGTACTTTTATAAAAACAATTTGATATGTTTCATGACTAATTCATTGGTATTTAGTTATGAACTATTGCACCTAATATTTATACATTAATATGATTTTCTTTACATAAGAACTTTCTAATCATAGGTAATTGTTATGTATAAACAAATTTTCATTTCATAATATATATAAATATCACAAAACAAGAGCATTTATTCTATAATATAAAAAAAGTTATAATTTGCTAAATATTACATTCAGTCAGCATGTGATCTTTATTGTTTCTCTTGAAATTACACATCATTATTGCATTTATTTTTAAAAGTATTTTCTTTCATATAGTTGTAAAATGAACAACAAGATAATTATTGTGAAAGTCATATACAAGAAATTCTGGTGTTAACTTTGCAGTCATGTTGAAATCAAATCACTAACCAGAGGAATCAAATGATGATTCTTTAAGGTATATTAATATTGTTTTATAAGAAACTGTGTTGGGTTTAACTAGTGTAAATTACTTAGTCAAAGAAATAAGTTAAAACAATTTATTTAATTGTATACGACGTAGAAAACTCTTCAGTGTAATTTATCAAATTCTAGTTTTGAACTATGCGTTTAAAGGCTAAAGGAAATCAGCAGGAAGTGAACGAAAATCGACCGAAAAAATTATAGAAAAACTGCGCGTGGTTAACAAAGATAGTAAAAGTTATTTATAACATCGCGCAATTTCATTTTCATTGATAAAAAGATTATCAAAGTTGATCACTCACAGATCATCGATAACTGTATCTGCGTAGAGTTTTAATAAAGCTTTTAGATAAATAAACCCGTTCAATTGTTAGCAAAAATCTCGCGTAGTTTTTCTATCCAATCAAAATATTATTATAACCATCCGTTAAAGAATATAGTACATTACCATACAAGTGCGGGAAGTAGGCGATTCCCGCACGCGCGAGGATTCCACGCTTCGCTCGGTCGGTAACGCGCGTGCATGAAGTTCGGACAGTTGCCACCAATAGAAAGTAAGAGTATGAGTAATTAGCATTTTTGAGATTAAAGGTTTTTTTAATAAAATAGTACATTACGTAACACGTGCGGGATATCACATACTTCACGTACAAGTTACGTACACTATTTTTTCACACAAGTGCGGGAAGTTCGAGTGTAGTAGGTTTATGTGAGCAGGAAGAGAAGGAAAGGAAGTTTCGGCTGGTGCCCTCCCTCGTTCGTAAAAAAGTTCGTAAAAAAATATGAAAAACTTTTAAATTAGTAGTTACGAAATGAATAATTATTTCTTGAGAAATATTTCTTAATAATATTTCTTTGAGAAACCCTATAGATTTTCCCGCATTTCATCCCCATGCTAATTGCGTTTTTTAACGCTCCGTGCTGAAAATAATAGTGCTCAAATTGGGGAAACCCATACTCGTAAAACTTTGGTATTAATTTTTCGGAAGCAAAATATGAACTCATTGATTTTTCAAAAAATAACAAACTATTCCCAGTTGTTCATATAAAAATAAAAAATATTAAAATCAAAGAATCCGATCGATTGAAAATACTAGGTTGCACCTTTGACTCAAGACTACACTGGAAATACCACCTATAGGAATTAAAAGCAGAAGCTAATCAAAGATTAAACTTGATTAAACCGATTACTGCTAGAGGATAGGGAGGTGACATGAGAGTTCTGCTAAATGTTTATAAAGATAGAGTCTTCCCTAAACTAAATTATGGAAGCATCCTTTACGATTCCTCAAGCTTAGCACATATGTTGAATCCAATCTATAATGTAGATCTAAAAATATCATAAGAGCTTTCTACACAAGTCCAACAACCAGCATTTTGACCTAAGTAAATTAACCCCCACTTAATTTTCACCGCAAAGCTCTAATCTTTAAGTACACCTGTAAATTATCAGGAAGTTTTGTAAGCCCAGCATGTAAAATAATCGTCATAAAGGAAAATTTAGCCAAGATCTTTTTCAAGAAACCAAAAGACACTCTGATAGAGATAAACATGGATCTACCGATGATTCTCCTCAAAATGCCGCCAGTTAACCCAATCGAAATACAATAAGAACAAATTCTGTTGATTATGAAAGGTATAGTTATAAAATAAATTTCTTTTTTACGATGAGAGATTCAGTGATTCTACAGGCTCGGGAGTCGTAATAATTGCTCCGATAGATGAAATGTAAATTTCACTACATAAATCTTATTCGGAAACAGAGGATAAGATTATCTCTCTACTCTGTTTTCTTGACTTACTAAAAAATGGAAAATACAGAACTTCCTTAACTTGAAATTTACAATAGAAAAACTAAGGAAACCACACATAAGTAACCACTCGATTTAAAGCAAAATTATACACTTAACAAACATAAATTAAAACGTAGCAATCACTTTAGCTGATCCTGACATTTCCAAACAAATGAGCGTATATGTCCTAGTCTTAGAAAAGCAGCTAAAAAACGAAATACAAGTACTCAGTTCTCCCTTCTGATAGAAAAATGTACAAAATTATTTATTAAATAAAGTGTACCAAAACTGGTAAACTCAATGGCAAGATTCTAACCTTACGTTGACTCTATTAGAGGCGACATATTCAAAAAATTACAAGATTACACACTAACTCGTAAAGAAGAAAAAATCATTTCACGGCTAAGAATTGGACATCCCTTACTGATCCATCTACGTATTTTAGAAAAAATGAACCCAATGTATGTAAATTCTGCGAACTAAGGTTTATGATGCCACACGCTCTTAAGGAATGTACTCTTCCAAACGAGAAACAAAGGTATAATCTCCCATAAGATAATTTTTTAGTTCTTTTCTACTATACGGGTTATATTGCTATTAAGCATTTATCCTAATCTTTGAATAAAGATTGTGACCAAATTATAACATTTATTTCAATCTAACGCATTTAAAAATCAGATTATCAAATATTAATAGAACAAAATCAGAATAATTTCAAAGCATAACTTTTTGTTTTTACGAAACGATTTACTCGATGCTAGTTTCATAAAGTGACTGTTAAAACAATAGCACTATAGCCAATCTGTTTATACTATCATTATCGTCAAAATTACCCGTATCAATTATGATAAATTAAATTTTTAATACTAAAATCTTAATTCAAAACTATACCAACACTTTTATTTGCCGTCACATAACATTATATCACGTGACCATATCTCAACCAATCAAACCGTGAATAAAATGTTTCAACGTGGTATAAATAACTTTTTTGTTACTTTTTTATTTTTATTTATTTTTATAAGTATATGTTGATGTTAAATTTATAAAAAATGTAAATTAAATGTATATATTCATTTGTTATGATTAAGTATATACTACATTTTTATATTACATTCGTTTTCGTTTCATATTCGGAAAAAAACGTTTCTGCAATTTTCAAACGCTGCTTAACATTTATAGAACTAGCTGACTTAAAAGTCCGCACTTAAGCAATGCTCTTCAGTGGCGTAGGTAATTGATAAGGGCACTATGTTTTAGATTTATAACCTCACCGTTTTGAACTATTGAGTGACGAGTCGTAAGAGCGGATTTAAGGGCAGCGCTGTAAAATGATGAACGATACGCGTGCCATTAGTGATACTCAACGGCACGCGACGTTACCGCCTTCGCTGTGCTTGGGTGTCAACTCGTTTTGCCATTAAGTCTCAATTACGCCACTAGTATTGTTATATACTATAACGAATAAAAGTTGTGAGCTGAAAATATATGTACATTTTCATTTACTGGTAATAGTAAAGTCATGATAAAATTGGTTAGCTGCTAACCATTGTATGGCAAAATGCTTTCTCTTCTGCCTATTTTGGCTCTCGGCAGCTACTTGATACGGAACGTAGTACTGAGCGGGTCAGCAATTGCACTAATTGTTTATTGCTGTGACAAAAACTCTCTCAAAGTCAATGAGGCATTAAAACCCTTAGCTTAATGTCGACAGCCTTTGTTGCGTCGGTACTCCAAGTCATACCCTAATGATCACCTATGACAGGCTTCCATTGTTCCACGTGCGCCCAGTGGTTAAATTGTTTGCTCCTATTATTATTGATTTCGGAGCAAGGTTAATTGGGGTGTCGTCTAATTTCTACCTAAGCATCCCTTTTAGCTCGGCCCTTGTGGCCCTCGCGGGGGACTTTCCTTTTCCACCACAATTTTTTTCGAGAGACAAGCCAATCTGTTCGGGGTCGATGGCATTGACCGACAGTCAATCGTAACTCCAGAAGTGTCAACAGCTCGGTCTTCTGGCAACTCCGTTTTCTCTGCGCCACGCACGCTTGTTTCCGTATTAGTAAGTTGATTAAATAAATCATCATCCCATCATTCCATTTAGCTACGAAAATGGACTGAATATTATTTTGCAACATAGAGAGTAAAAGGGGGAAGACATGTCTAATATTCACTGTCAACCCAGCGCATTGAATCGCTTGCACACATTGCACCTGTATAAAAACTTTCTCCTCTGATATAATAAACGAAGAAACTTGTCAACGACCGTATTAAAGCACGCCAAACTTTCAATTTCAGTTTCTACCGAGCTGGAATAGCAAAGACAGCCCAAAGCGAGCGCATCGTCGTTCATCTTCTTACCCGGTGAATTTGTGCAGCAGTGCACATCCCGTCGTGGTTGTTGACGAGATTCCTCCGTCGAGATCGGCTCACGATTTCAGTGCAGAGCACAAGGATGCGGTTGCCTTGATAAAAAACGAATTGGTCGCACGTGCGATAAAAGAGGAGACGAGCAGCAACGCATCCATCAAGGCTTGGAGTAGCTTTCCCCATCTAAATGAGAATGGTTCCGATGTGGTAGCCGTCGGCAATGGGGTGCCGGAAAAGGGGCTTGGCGCGAAAGAGCCGAGGGTCGCGCAGAGCATCGAGCTTTCGGACGTGATCAAGGTCGATTATACCGAAACGACGAGCATCGGCGCTTCCACGTTTACTGAAGTTAAAACTAGTCCAGGTTCGTGTAGACTATTTGAAATTGAATGCGTCATTGCGATACGCACATTCGATAAAAAAAAAATTTCATTCTCTACAGTAAAACCAAAGTTCTTGTCGAGAAAGGGGAGAAAGACGAGACTAGCAAAATTAAAGAAATCACAACGGAATAGTGGTAGTTCTGATACCTTAAACTACGAAGAATCACCGAAACCATCGACGAACTCCAACGCACATCTGACGAAGTCGCTTGGCTCGGGACACAGTGTAACGGACTCGATAAAAATCGAAATGATAAAGCCGAAATGGAAATCGTCTTTCCTCGGTGGATCAGCGCCAGAATTTTCAGGGCCGTGGAGCACCGAGGTCGAAGGTCAGAAAGACGTACGAACGCCAAAGAAGAGTTTTATCGAGGACGGAGGAAGTAGCGTTTTACCAATGGCAACCGGTTACTTTCCTCAGCCTAAGGAGGGTCAGAGTCTCACGAGTTTTCTGTCGTCGGCACAGTTCGCTCGAGCAAATGCCGAGCTCGACAGGGAGAACGCACATTTCAGTATTTCCGAGGCGATGATTGCTGCTATCGAGCAGGTTGGTTCGAGAATTTGTTCGGGAAAATGCTGCAAGTGTTTTCCGAGAAAGTCGGCTAAATAAGCTGTACGCGCAACGATTGTTTTGCGTTACAGGTCAAGTGCAACAAGCAGCTGAGACTCGCGGATGAAGCCGCCGAGGAAAGCGACGAGGAAATCAACAGTCTCAAGCAAAGGATAAGGCTGAGACGGCGCCAACGGCAGGAAGAGCGACGAAAAGGAAGCGCAGTTGCCGCCAGCACTTGGAATCGCGATCTTCTGAGCGACGGCAAAACCGACAGTGAGTTTCTTTTACGCCTTATGCCAATCTGTCAATTGGTCTAGCTGCAAAGTGTGGGTTGATCCGTGATTCATTGAATATTCTTGTTTCTAGCGACGACCACGGATCAGAGCGTTAGTCCGATGTCTACGTCCTCTGGTACGCCATCTGATAGTATTTCTACAGACGATGTGGATGATTATGAAATGAACGACACGCGCAATTTATCTGATCTTAAACATTCCAGTAATTCAAATATTACTCATTTTTATTTCGTTTTTCACGTCACATAAACTCGGTTATACGATTGCAATTGTTGTAGGCTTGTTGGTGTCAATGGCGTCGCTTTACTCCGAAGCTGACCTTTACAGATCATCTTCAAAGCAAGCAACTGAATCAAACATGTCGGACAATACGGTATCCGCGGAAGGTGTTGCCTTGTCGCTCATCAGTAGGTTTAGCGAAAAACACTTGCCTCGAGCGAGTGAATTACAATGGCTCGTTTCTGAACAGGATGCTCCTCAATGTGTAAGTTGCTAGTTTCTTTTTTTTTGCATTTTAAACAGCTTCAGTTAATAATTACTGTAACAATATTTTTCTTAGCTATTACCTCTTCCACAAAGTTGGCCTATAAGTCCCGATGACGCCGAAGGTATTGACGGAAATTCAATACACTTACGAGGTACAGTCGAGTGGGCCCCACCGCGACCACAAATCATATTTACTGCGCATCCACCACCTGTGTACGAAATCACATTATTCAGGCTTATCACGCGATATTTTCTGTATATTTAATCTATATGGCTGCGATTTTAGGCGGCGAATTCTCATAGCAAAACAAAATTACCGATGTGCCGGCTGTGGTATGAAAGTTGCGGTAGAATATGCGAGCAGATTTCGTTATTGCGAGTATTTAGGTAGATATTTTTGTACGGGTTGTCATACCAATCAAGTGTCCTTGATACCTGGAAGAATTCTTTCCAAGTGGGATTTCAATAGGTGAGTGAAATAGTACATTTCGATATTGATGCAAGAAAGTGATTTTATCCTCGTGTGACCTCTTCACTCGAGCACAAATGTCTACACGAGGCTTGCATTACCTTCTAGCGCTAGTATCAAAATGTATCATAATCAAATGTGATTTTTAGAATGTTTGATTGTTGTATCGATTTCAGGTATCCCGTTTCGAACTTTTCCTACAGACTTTTGGATCAAATGACAGTCGATCCGCTTTTCCAAGTGAGTGATCTGAACCCTACGTTATATCGAAGAATAAAGCAATTGGATCGCACAAGGCTGCTTCGAACTCAGTTATTCTATCTCAAAGATTTCCTTTTAACCTGCCGCTTCGCTACAATGTGAGTTATTTTTTTTTAATTAAATATTAATATTGATATTTCATTTAATCAAAAGCATTTTTTTAGTATACAGCAAGAATTAAAGAAAGAACCAAGTCATATTATAACGGAACCTCACATTTACTCAATACAAAACTTCGTGCAGGTTAAGACAGGAATCCTTCCAACTGAGTTGAATAAATTGGTTCAAGAATCCTGTAATCATGTGGCAAATTGTGTGGTAAGATCAAAATTATAATTAATACTATATATTTGTATTCTTCGATAAATACTAAACCAGTGAATTTTATAGTTGTGTCAAGCTCGAGGCTTCATATGTGAACTGTGCAATTCGAAAGATGTTATTTATCCATGGGAAATGAACAAAGTAACAAGGTGCGATAATTGTGGCACTTGCTATCACATAGCTTGCGCCAATCCTGATTCTAATACAAAAAAAATAGTAGACTGCAAAAGGTGTAGTAGGTTGCGTGCTCGACACGAATCCAAAGAGGATTCGTCGTCCGAAATAAGATGATTGAGGGCTAAAAATCTCTTGCTGAATTATTTTTATGTGACTGCATTTGCAGAAATTTTATTTGTTACTGAGCACAAACTTTTCCATTCTGGTGATCAAATATGCCTGTTACTCAAGAACGAAACTATTATGCTTATGTTTTAATGAACACAGTGTTTAACCAACACGTTTTATTTGTAAATTTGTATGTGTTTGCTTATTAATTTATAGTATTGATAATATTTATTATAAAAGAACGTCATTTACACTTGACTATAAAGGCAACCAAAAGACTAATTTGTTATTGTAATTGCAAATGTTTAGACTAATCTAAGAAAAAACTATCTAAAACTAGTATTTTTGCATTGTCATTGTCATGTTTGAGAAAGTGCATGAAATATCTGTAGTGTAGTTTTATTATTGTTAATCAAGTAAATTTTTGCAATGAAAATGTACAAATTTTAAAGTCAATTTCTAATTTCAAGAATATAAGTAATCATGAAATAATAAAATGATCAAAAAGTTATTATAGAGGAATATCATATCTAAATTTTGAAAATATCAAGCGGGCGTATATTTAATCAAAATTTAACTGCAATGTATTGATATTTGACTTTTGAATTTTAAAGTATTAATTCAAATAAATGAACAAGATGTTCGCTCGCTTTTTACATTAATTAGTATTTTATTTTTTTAGTTTAATACAAAGTATATTTTTTTTTGTCGAAAATATTTTATTTTGTAAGTTTTTTTCAGAAACTCATTGTAAACAGAGTATTAATTAACATTGAATTTATTATTTTCTAATTTTGAATCTCACGCATTGTAAAATTTCAAGTAATTCAAAAATACCTTCAAATACAATTGAAATGAAGCGTATAATGTGATATGTAGGAAATAAATATTTAAGATTCTCATTTTATGCACTTTCTTAAAAATATTTAAATCTAATCTCCGTACCTGGCTTACCAGAAACATTTGTATATATTTTTTGTTATTTATTCATCAAGATGTCATGTTTATAATTGAATAAACATTTTATGGATATGAAATTTGAATTTTATTAACATTGTAGAAAATTCTAATAATCCTCGTGTTTACTGCATTAATGAAATCGAAAACAAAATTTAAAATGTCTCATCGATATCTATGTATATACATTTTTTCCGAAATAATAATTTTCGAATAGGAACAAGGAATCTACAAACGTCGAGTTTTGGATCAAACATCACTAAATTAAATTGTCCGTATTTCGTTAATTTTTTTCATTACTTTATCCATTAACATAACATACGATCACTTTGTAATTATATATAGTTTTATAATCAGATTTATATTGATAAATTATACACTTCAACATTTACCGATTGACCCGAAGTAAGTAAACCAAGTTTTTTTCTTGATATATTTTGTAGAAATAACACTTACATTGAATTATTTAAAAAATGTCTCTGAAATATTTCTGAAATTCTTTTCTATGAATGTTTTAGTTGTATTTTAAGACATTATTTTCCTAAAATTGTGACAATTAAAAAAAAATGTTCCTATAAACATTTTCGAAACCATTAAAAAGAAATTAACTTTTACGATATTTTTGCAAGAGTTTTTGGTATGGTTATATGAAATGTTTTCAAAGATGATAATAAATATTTCAGTTAAGTATTTTTGCAATACTTTGTAAATATCACTTTAAATATTTCACAGAGATATTTTCAATTTATGTCTATGACATAGCTACAATATTTATGCCAGTTTTCTGTAAAATATTTTATTGTCTCTTTCAATACAATATGTTATGCTTTGCACTGTAGGTAAGCATGTTTACTTTAATAACTATTTTCACTATAGTTACATACATATATAGTTATTGTAATTTTTTTTAGTGTATTTGAAAAGTTTAAGTGTAAATTGCATTGAAAATATTATCTTATTTATTCTATCGTTTCCAATTTGGTCTTTGCTGAAGAAAAAGCTGTTGAATAATGAATTTCTAAACGTTGTGAACGTTGTTCTCAACATCATTTATAATAATGATTACTCATAAAATAAAAATTAGAATCCTGCACATTTTGTTGATATTTATAATTTGTTATGAATGTTACTCTTACAAATTATTCGAAAGAAATAAACGGATCATGGAATAGTACATTACGATACAAGTGCGGGAAAGTAGATTCTTGTCTCGTGTGGTGTTTACGCCCGAGCAAAGCGAGGCTGGAAAGGTACACGAGACGAGAAACTCTTTCCCGAACATGTGCCGTACCGTATTTTTTTATACGACGTGTGGAAAGTGCGATTTCCAACGCACGTTTTTTCCCGAGCGTGCGGGAAAAACGTACTTTCCGCACGGAGCGTCGAAAAAAATTAATTGTGATGCAGGCAACGCGTAACAAATTGTGTTTATATCAATTAATTCTATAATCTACTAAATGTTTATGTAGGATTTTATGGAAATATACGTCTTAGTATGAAGTTCGCTTCGTTCGGGCGAAACGTCACACGAGACAAGAATCTATTTTCCCGGACTTGTATCATAATGTACTATATTATAGGTGTAATAAAGGCTTATGCTTCGATATCTTCTCATCGATCACGTATTTTGCTTGACTTTTAATAGTAAAGAATTATGTATTTATCATTCTCGAGGGCGACAGATGTGATATGGGAAAATTTGTTACATATATATTATTTGCTTGTTGGAGGTTCTATTATTCTTGTATGGAGCAAATAGTGCAGAATCTTATATATCTGTAATAACTTTAAGCTCCCAATGTTTCGCATGTGTTATTTTCTAATTAAACTGATTAATGTTATGGAGTGCATGAATAATTTTTGCAATGAAATATAGGATGAGAGGACAAATGTTGAGCCATTTCAAGTTCGTATAAAATATGTTTAAAATATCACTTTATATCACAGAAATGTAAATGTAGATGCAATAAGTTTGTTAAACAACTATAGACACAATCATTATTACCAACATGGAGTGTTTAAGTATTTATTTCTGTATTATATTTCAATTCTTTGATTCCAAAACTTTATTTTTACTATTCGGCAAACATAAACAAAGTGAAATAAAGAATAGATTGAAAAGTAAAAAGAAGATCGATTTATGGCAAGGAAGCAAGTAAAATATTTATACTTCTAATCAAAAAATGACCAAGTACATTTATTTTTGTTTTCCTCACTAGAGTAGAATCTCTCACTCTGTTCTAGATATTAAATGCTTTGTAAAGCGAACAATAAAAAATATAGACTGGTTCTGTTCTGAAGTAAAACGAAAAGACGTAAAAAGTTATAATAACTAAAATACCTCACCGATGTATGATGATGAATAAAATAATGTACTATACACATCATCTACTTTTTAATTTTACTATTCGATTTTTTCACGTGTGATCATTAATTTGACATAATATCAATACTTTGGTAAATTATTTTATATATTCTTTTGATTCTGTATCTATCGTAAGAGTCGTGCAAGTTATTTTTGCATTTTAAAAGTATCTTCACAAAGAGGATTTAATAACATCAAAATATTTAGTATAAACTTATCACAAAAGAATTAAGTTTCAATTCAATGACAAGAAAAAAATTCGTCCACACGAGTTGTATTGAAAATATTGATAGAGTATTAGTTATGGAATGTATTTAAATTACAGGTATATAAGTTTGTCCAATTATGGTAAATTTTTATAATTGTAAAATGATCGATAATCTATCGATAAGTGGGTGAAGGAATATGTGCATTACAAGAGAATAACTACAAATGAAAAATCATGATTTAAATTAAGTCACATTTATAATTTTACACATACACACTTGTTGCCCAAAATATTCAATAATAGTACATCCACTGATAGTAAATATATTATAACATTATGTACATCGTGCAGCATTTATTTCTGAACAATGGCAGCTTTGTTCTTATGTACACGTACGGTTTTTATTATAAAACAATGGCATTGGCAATCGAGTCGTTTATCGATTTAAGAAAATCGCAAGTTATAAAAGTCGTTTGAAGTCGAATATTTAATATCTCAGTCGTATTATGGTATATTTGATCATAAAAATTACATTTTAGTCATAAAAATAACCAATTTGATTCATTGCTTAAGAAAAGTTTACACGTCCAATTTGCAGCAACATTCTTATAGTGAAGAAATCAAATATCGTAATTTATCTTATCACATTTAGATGATATTGCCTTTCTAAAAATTGATTATCATATTTTTAAGCGTTACATATCGCTCGATGCTAATTTTTTTAGTAGATCAAAATAACGATGAATCAAGCTGAAAAATTTAGAGTATCTTTTCAATTGATTTCACGATATTCATACTGGCAAAATCATACTTGGATAAATTACTGGGTAAGATTGTGAGAAAAAGGATAACTCATTTATACATCGAGTTCATGCAACTTTAATTTGAAAATGGATGTGTCGTATGATTAAAAAACATACATTAATATCATTATCAGTCTGTCACAACAACGCAAAAAAATGCGCTACACTTTTATTTTAGTCCATGATAGAATCAATTCGAAATAACGTACGTTTTATTTCATTATATAAAAATTTTGATTCTTTTTTTTTCTATTTCATGGTCACCTTATAGCGTGACACTGTTAAAATTGTTTGTAACATGACCTATTTCATGCGGATTATTGAAAATGGACAGAGGACTTTTGACGGATATTAAACTTTTTTAAAAAATTAAACAAACAAAAACTTATACAATAAAAAAAATGTCTAAGAAAGGCATCCCTATAAGCCTGTCAAAATTCAAGAGCAATATAGAAAAGTATGACGCTATAATAGATTTTTCAACGAATATAAAATCCAAATAGCTTAAATTATTGAGCGACATATTGGCCACTCAATGTATAAATCTATATAAAATTATACAAACTCCATCATCCATCTCGAGCCATTTCCAATATAGCTGTATCTTAAAATTAAAAATTTGATTACACCAATAGAGTCCAAGGCTCTTTATCAACCGCGTATCACACATGCTTCGCAGGAACACTGATGGACGCGGTTCGATGTCCGTGAGTATCTCGTTTTGTTGCTAACTGAGTGTTAAACTTAGATTTTCACGCAGTCTAAATTTTGGCTCTGAAATGAACCACGTAACCAACACGTATGACACTCATTTTACAGACTCTAATACTTACATTTTACACTAGAGTTTTTACAAGTCTAGATGTTCTTTCAATGGCACCTTTGCTACTTCGAAAAATATTCTGAAACGAGAAAAAGTTTTAACAAATAAATATATTACACTATAGGTGCACTATCAAATGCATATTTTTAAGAAAAAAAAATTACTTATGAGTGTATTTGTTTCGGACAGTTGCAAGTGCATCTTTGTGCTTCCTGAGCAGATTCTCGTTCACGATGAGAACAACATCCTTAAAATCGACCAATTTATATCCCGTGTAATATTCTAACGTAGGTGTCCAGCCTCCCAATTCTTTCATTTGTAACGCAATGAAAAGAGCCGTGGCCGCCATTTTGCTATCGCTCAAAGATATCGTCGCATAGTCCATCAGCGAGTACTCCAAAATATAACGGGCCAACGTCAGCGTTGGCATCGAGACCTTAGCACACTAAAAGATTTAACAGAGAAATAAATAAAATGACAATTAAAGCATAACGTTATTTACGGACCCTGGCGTAACGTCGCAAGAATCTGTAGGATAAAGGTATTCCAAGGTCGAAGTCCATCACTTTGAGAATACTTATCTCCATTCGCACGAGGTCTTTACTATTATAAGCACCGTCGCATATATACAAAAAGTCTTCTATCATTGGAGGAATTCTTTCCTGTAAACAGAAAAAAAAATAAAAACAAAATTGTCTTATTAAAACAATCAGAAAACAATTTTTATAAGAAAATTATTACCATGAATGAATAAACTTACGTCGTATTTGCTAGCAATAAATAGACTAGCGGCTCCAAGCAACTGCAGTGTTTCTTTTCCTACAGTAACCTTGGTCAAATAGAGATCGACCAATTTCACAGCCAAGTAGAGAGTTTCGTGGTTGAGTTCGAAGGACTCTTGTACCGCGACCATCCAGTCGACGAGAAGAGCACGCATCCATCGCGACAGGCACACTTGACGCTCCATGTAATCCGTCACAGGAAAGAGACGCTCACGGTCCTTTAAATACTGAAAAATGTCCATAGCGTAATGTGACACCTGGTATGGGTCATTCCAGTTTTCCACGTCGAAATCCCATTGCACGCCCGCTGGTAAAACTCTGTTGGGGATCGGGTTACGAGTCGTTGGGGCAGTGGATTCCTCTTGAACAGGAGGAACCGCTTGTTTGTTTCCCGCTGTAGTTTTCTTTTCTTGCTCCTGTTTTATAATACAATTTTTATGAATTTTTATCTTCCATATTTATTGTAAATAAAATATATTTTTTGAATCAAACTTTGATATATACTTTACTCTAAGTACGAATAATAATTACAAGTCATTCAGTAAATTAGCAGTTTTATCAAAATATATGCAAATATTACGTTAATATTTTTAATTTTTGAATTCAAATTTAAAACTCAACGGCTTTTTTGAGCTTCATAACGAACATTCAATAGTGAACCCCCTAACTTTCACATGCAATAATTTTACCATACATCGGTAATCGCTTATACGGTTAATGTTGTATTTATATCGAAAAAAATATTTAAAAAATTATTAAATATATCATTTTAATTAAAATTTGATAAAATATATCGAATTGTAATATAATAATAAAACTTACTTTATTTGTCCGCGATAACCGTTTGGCATTCTCCTCTGATAGTGATTCCAAGGCACTGACGTACAAAGAACTTTCGTCCGATTTTTCTGTTTCTACGCTCCGCCTCAAGTTAATAACAGCTTTGTTCTGCGCTTCTATCTTAATATCCTCTTCTTTCTTTGTAGAAGGCTTAATACGTGCTATATGCTGTTGTTGGGATTGCTTTTGTTTTCCATGAATATGATTGTCTTGCTTTGGTAAAATTTTATCTAAAGGCTTTACTATATTTGTGGTTTGACCAACAGTCTTAATATGTTGATGGTTAACAGCAAATTTTTTCGTTACTCTCTTTGTATCATGAATTTGAACCCCTATAGTTTTTCCTATTGCCTAGAATGAAATAGCAAACAATTAGCAACATTTGAAATTATGATAATTATTATGTAAAGTATTTTCAATACATACATTTGTAATGTTACCAAGAGCAGATCGCTTTGCTACTTTGTCCTTTAGTGGAGATGCGTCTGCTTTCCTCTTAATTCTTGTATCTTTGAACAGAATAGGTTGTGATTTTTGTACTTGTATTTGAACTTGCACTGGTGCATTAATATTTGAATTGGTATGTCGGGTAGCTAGCCCTCGTCGTGTTACAACCCCACTAATAGTGTTGGTCGTGGTTGCCTTAGCGTGTGCATTCAGTATTTTGGAAGGTGGCATTTTAGAAATAAAAACTTATTACTTCCTGTTATTCCTACAACAGAAAATATATGAATTAGTAATCAAGACTATTAACCTATCATTCACCAACTAAAGAGATAATTTTCTTTAGTCATGATTAGCAAACAACTATAGTTTGACTTATAATATTTTTATGATTAAAGAATTTTATTTTTGTTGTATTTTCTAATGATTAACAAATAAAATCTAATATTTCAAGTGCTCTATATTTACCAGTCTTTAGTTTCCCAAAATATGTTTGTAAGTAACAATATTTCTAATTGAGTGTAAGTATGAAAATATCACAGTGTACACTTTGTTATTTAAAGATTTGTAATTAGGTTATAGATTTGAATGACCAATGAACAAATAAATTTAATATTCCTCTTTAAAGTGCTGAAATTATTTGCTACAAGTTCAATATTTATTAAATTAGTAAAACTAATATATCCAATGAAAAAAAAACAAAAGCAAGATAGGATATTGATTTGAGGTTAATAATATCATAAATTAATTTATAGGGATATCGAAATAAATAATAATTAAATAAAAAATTTTATGAAGCTACAGCTGATCGACTTACTTATTTGCTAACTCTCTGTACCACGTTTTTATTTGTATGCAAAAATATTATATTGTTATAGAATAAAGCTCACAAGTCAAAGAAAGTCTAACAATTAAATTTTCATTTGGGAAAATCAACGGAACAAGGCACCTAGGGGGTAAGAAATGTCGCGTCGTATTCACTGTAACCGTCACCTTGCAAACAAAAAATCGATCGTCGACACAAGGACCCGTGATGTCCGAGAACTCGAAATACCCGTTGGCTTTCAATACTTTAATCTTGCAGGCACCTGAACCACGTAAAATTGGCACGCCATTCAGTCAAAAGTACCGAGAAATCTCAAAATCAAAGTTACCTTGTCGAAGCGGCACATACACTTTTAGTTACTTATGGCGGAAAACGCGCGGGAAGGAAAATTCTAGTTTTTCCAGAAATGAAAAGCCTCCCTCTCACACGTTACTGATAACATTGTGCAAAATAATATTGCCGATATCGGCTGAGGCTTTCATTCAACAGGGACGCGATCGACTTTCCTAACGTACTTTCAATTTGTAGGAAGCCATGATGAACCGTTCCAAAACAATAATGTGTAACTTACTTGGACTGATAGGCTATCGTTGTCGGAGAGAAAGCGCAAAAGCGGATGGAGCGTCTTTTAAAATTCTCTCCGGCTTGATCCTGCTGGTTGTTGATAGACGCAGTCCGTTAAATTGTCATCTCTGGAAATTCATTGTTATCCTCGTCGTTAGGATGGATGGGAGGAGGGTACGATGAACAAAACGCTCGCTTGATACTCTTCGTACGTTGCTGCTTGCGGGCTGTTGCGGGTTGCAGGCGCTGCGACTACTAAAGTTGACGCCTGTTCAAATTATTGTCGAAGACCGTTGAGTTACACGCCCATTGGATAGAAATGAAACGTTCGCCAACCAATAGCACTGCTCACTACAGCGAGAGATATACCGTCTGCTGGTAATCAAACGTCTAGGCGTCATCTTCTGACCGAGAGTTTGAATTTTTATTAATCAATTGAAAAACCTTTCTTAAATGCGTTCGATTAATGGCTACTGATAGATGCTTACTAAATACATTAATTTTCTCGTAGAATCAAAATAATGCCAATGTTACGAACGTTTAAGAATTGAAATTTCATATTAATTGTCGTTTGGCCTGGTGTCTCTTTTGAAGCCAGCTGTTCTTTTGACCGTCCCATAACCTCGAACAAAGTTCGTGCTTATCAAAACAGCCAGAGCAGACGTCAAGAAAAGTGGAATCGCGAAAGAAGCGTGTTGCGTATTTTTCCGTCTGAATTTATTAAAAACAAAAACTGGTGTGATTCGTAATTACTTAGCGAATATTGCAGTAGAGTAGTGTTACGGGAGAATAAATAAAAAGGAGCTCACAGGTGATTCGTGCAGCGCGGCCGGGAGCAACGCAACGCGTTTATGGCAACGTGTTTTGTTCTGTGCTTGCATAAGTGTGCGTGTGTGTAACATCAATGTGTACGCATGTGTTTATATATATTATATATTGTTCTCATTGACTAGTAGAAAAAACACGTCCTTTTAAATTTCAGTAATCATTCTCGAGTTCTGACTTGGTCCGTTTTTTCCGTTTACCCCTACCCGCGCGCGCGTACTTTCTCTTTTTATTTTTTTACGTTCAGAGACTATATCAGACATTTACTCTTTGATGAAACTGCATTTTCATTTAATTAACTGATAGCTATTTTAACTATAAGATTTCAATTTACAGTTCGTTTGATTAGATACATAAATATAATGACATTTTCGTAAAGTACACTTCCATTTGTTATTGAGAATTCAGTAATATATTTTAAAAACAAGAATAAGGAAAACGCTACAGCGTCCAAACACATTATATGAATATTTATTTTTTACTGTAGCAAACAAGAAGACGATTATGTTTGCATTCAACTGACGACGAAAAATATCAATTGATCCTTATGTTTGTTGAGTGAGAAAAACACTTTATTTATTATAACTTTCACATAAAGTAATTGAGATGCACGACGAAAGATTTATTGTGAAATACGTTACGGCAAACAACTGTTTTGCGTATTTACCGGAGCACTGGCTTAGAAAATTGTCTTCTAAGGTGAATGTTTAATTATTTATTTAAATATCAAAGATTAACGTTTTCGCATTCACTTATTTTTATTTTATTTAATTGCTTGTAATGAAAACTTACGTGTAATTAGTAGTATTGAAAATATGAGAACAGCTGGAAAAAAACGGCCGTTGATTGAATTTTTCGTAACTGTAATCAACGAGTATAGACGTCTACATTCTTTGCTATCGTTGCTATAATCAAACTACAAAGAGTAAACTCTCGAAGCTAAAGAAGGTTACTGTAGTTATGCTACGCAGTCAATTTCTACTTTGCCATTTACTTGCTTTGATATCGGTTGTCGATCTTGATAATTCGATAATATTACATGCATTGTCACTGGTCGGACATGAATTCGTGAGCCGCGAAGTTCGAAATCTAAATGATTTTCGAGGATTGAGCGTCAATGACACCAAATGATTTTTTTCTGGCAATTTGCAGGTCATCGATGCTTCATCATCAAATAAGTAATTAGGATTCTGAACTTCGTGATTCGCGAATATTAATGTTCGGGCAGACAACTATTGCATTGTTTTACCTGATGTAAGTTTTAATAATTATTTTATAGATTGGATTTTCAACCACACTAAATTTCAATTATAATTGAAAAAATGCATGTTATTGTCAATTTGAGAAGATGAAAAATCAGAGAAAAGATATGATAGCTATTCAATAAAGAATGATAAAATTAATTTAAATTAAATTGAAAGCAATGCCAAGCTTGGGTTTCATAAATTCACTGCGGTATCGTAATTCGCCATCAATAATCGACTATAATTTCCGTATAAAATTATCATAACGTTTATTGCAGATAAACACTTTTGATTATATATTTGACTGGTCCGCTGCGCTTGTCGCTGAGTGAAATTATGTTTATACGGTTTTTGATCTTTGCGCGTATTTATTAGCGGCTTTAATGACGATTTCGCGTTCAATTTTCGGAATATATTGCGTCGCGATAATGCCGTATAAAGATTGCTATTTACCACGGTTAAGTTTATATGAATCGAACCGTGCATATATACTCGTGTTGCATTGACAGATTTATTGGACTCTGAATAATCTGGCCTAAATTGGTGTCTGTTTTAAAAAGCAAACTATTATCCACGAAAAAGAAAAATATAAAAAAGAAATAAGAGAACTCTCATATGAAATTCGTGATAGCATTAAAGACTTTTTCGTTGAGTATATTTTTATTTTGAATTTTGTCTTGCATACAAGTTTAAATTGAAAGAGAATTATCGCTCAAAGGGAGGGGGGAGAGAAGGGCGTCAGATTGTTGAAATATACGTCGATTGCCCTCTTGTTAGTAGAAAGAAGAAATGACAGCGATATTGTTCAGCCAGAGAGCTCGCGCGTTCTTTTGTGCTTGATTGTTCGCAGGCGAAGGCGCTGAGAGTGCAGCACAATGACGTCAATTATTACTTATCTTGGTACGCGAGGCCAAGTCCTGATAACTCGAGGCTCTGCCTGAGCGCGACATTTGCAAGGACTTTAAACATTAAGGAAGGCGATGAGGTCTTTGTGTCTTGCGCCGAGGAGCCACCCTCCTTAACGAGCCTCGCCGTGGCTCCCAAGAGCTCGCACGACCAAGAAATACTGGTCTGTATACTCGCTCTTTTCCTCTGCAGCGGCAACCCTTTACTTTTATTATTATTTCGTCTTATCTCCACTTTGCTTCGAGACTCGCCACATAATGTGCTTTTCAGCCTGGACGTTTCTTTTATTTCCTCTTGTCTAATTAACTGGCGCCTCGCTCGACACTGCTTAACAAATCTAACCTTTATTTGACAATGTTGAGTGAATAAATACTGTACTTTAGCTGGTCATCGGTGCGATATCTGTCCTAACCAATCACGCAACCTCGTAACGAATCATTTTTTATTTGCATGATTTGCATGATTTGCAGGATCTGCAGAGTGACGTCGTTCAAGCTAACTTGCTAAACCAGATAACAATTGTAGCAAGAGGCCAAACAATCGTTGCTTGGATATCAAAGTTTCTATCCGTTACACTAATTGTCAGTAAGTACCAACAGACACTTCCGCAAGCGTCTCTTAATTATTAAAACATGTTAAAAAAACATTTAAAAAATCATTTCAATTTTCATAAAATTAGCCGAATACGTTCATGTCAATTTACGTTTTTATTATTATACATTCTCATTTTGCATACAAATATATTAAGATCGCATTACAGATTAATTTATATACAGCTTGTCACATAATTCTAACTTATAGCATAGCAAAGTAGTTTCCATTAATATCATTATACTAGAATGCTCGGTTGGATAAATTAGCTGTAAATAAGATTTTTAACATTCGAAATTTACAGAGCGCTGCTGTTACTACAACAGTATATATTTTCTAGAAGATGTAAATTTCTTATATATAAATATTGCAACGTATTAATAAAACTTGACATTCTTACCCACTTTTTGTAAGGATTTGTTATGGGAAATTCAGCAATACTCATCATCGTTTAAATCTTTTCGTATAATTTGCACTTCGTTTATTGATCACTTTTAAATCTTTTATACGAATTCTGTTATCTTTTTATTTAACTTATGTCAGCAATGAATTTTTGCGGCGTGCGCTTGTTTGGTATTTCGATCAACTAACAAAAATCTAACACATTTTAATTACGTAAATAAATATTCAATAGAACTTCTATCATAAATTAGTCCAGATTACTACAGATAAAAGTCTTACAACGTGTGATGTTTGTATTCAAATACTCCAATTGTAGGAGACGCGTTGATTATCTCAACATGCAATAAATAATGTATATTTTTAGTTATCAAAATAAAAGGAAAAATGAGGTTCGGATTGTAATCAGCCAAAACTATAATGAAAGTAATTCAATCACAATATTATTTAAAAATGACTTATGTAATAAAATGTTCAGCGTCCCTGAATCCCGAGTTCAAGTATGGTCGACTAGAAGAAAACACGGAAATCCACGTCGGCGATGCAGCAGTCGCAAAGCCAGCACCCTTGCAAAGTTCATCGAACGAGGCAGACAAGGACAGCGCTGACAGCATTCTCGGCGACTTGCCGTCCACTCCAGCTGTAAAGTGCACGTACAGGCTGCACCCGCTGCCGACGGGATCGACACAGCAGGCACCCTTCAAAATCTACGTTCACCGCTCGCAGCTGCCGGCAGCTTGCACTGAGAACGGAATGAAGTTTGCCTGGCTGCGAAAGGTAAAGCAAGATCGCGAAAGCGTCAAGTCTGGTGCATTGTTCATCAAAAAGATAGAGGGTCCCACAGACTTTATGGTGAGTTTAGCGTGCCTGCACGCATACGTGTAATGTACCGGTCTTTGCGTTCTACAACAAATGATCGAATCGGGTTTTAAACACGCTTTATGATGTCGCTAAGTCTTAATCATTTGGAGGTAAAGAGAAACTAACAGAAGTGCATTTATTATTTTTATTAGCATAATTTGAATGGATTTATCGAAATTTTCTGTGCATTCTTATCGTGAGATTTTTTATTATATACAAATAAATTCAGTGAACATATAAAAATATAATTCGATTACCGTATTAAGTTCAATTGAACTATTTTATTATTTTTGGATCATTAATATTCGGCTCTCGTCAATTGCCGCAGAAACTAGCTAAAATTTTGCAATTGAACTCTTCGAACAATTAGAAAAAGTAAAATTTAATGGTATTAATATTCTTATTTGTAAATAATAGCATTATATTTATCATGTTTATTGAACATTTTTAAATTATTTGAATGGATTTTTCGAATGAATTATTTATATTTAAGGTTGAAATTGCTACTATGGAAGATTCAGACGATTATTTTGTTCAATCAAACAAAGCACATTTTGCAATCTTCGCTAAACATCCATGTATTTACATAACGGAGAGTTTGCAAGCAACCCTGCGAATGAAAATTGGCGCAAAAGTGGTTTTAACTTTTGTCAATGATCTTAACGATAATAATGCCACATGCACCACACTCGATATTTTTCCAAGCGAAACGCCAGTATCCGAAGAAATGTTGCGATCGTACGTGAGTCACAACAGCTCGATGAAAAAATTATTGATCAACTCATATAGTAAAATTGCCTTCGAAGATGGAAATTATTGTTTCATCAAAATGTCACCGGAAAATTGCAAGTTTGCATTTTTCGATGAAGAAAGTTTAGGTTCAGTTGAGATTAAAGTCAACGATATGCCGGCCATAGAAGATTTACGAATGACAGAAGATGAATCGGATGACATAGAAATGCGAATCAGTAGAGAATCGACAAGGTAAGTTATTTTGACAAAACCGAACTACTGAATATTTGTAAAACGGTGTCTTATCGATGCTTTCAAATTTAGCGTACTGCAGCAGTTGATTACTGAGTGTATGAATGTTCTTACACTTAGCCTAGGACTTTACAACATTAAAAAATTTGACTATGAGAGAGAAAACATTTTAATTAGTGGTGCAACAGGTTCTGGCAAAACAACAGTTTGTAAGCTGCTTCGTAAAACCCTTAGTGAACCTCCATTCTTCGTTAATACTCGCTATATTAACTGTCGATCTTTGAAAGGCAAGTTATTTTCATTTCTCGATGCTCATATGCATAGAATAATATACAGTATTTTTAGTTATAAAATTACTTATTACATTTTTGAATATTGATCAGGGAAAAAAGTAGAGCTCGTACAGAAGTTCTTAGCCGTAGAAATATCTCAAGTTGTCTACTACCAGCCGTCAATTATATTTTTCGATGATATTGAGAGTATTACCACTGCGCCTGTGAGTACGGATGAGAATACTCCAGATTCTATGAACGCTGCCAGGTGATTGTCGATGAATATTATTTTACTAATACGCATGGAAATACATTCAATATAATTATTTATTGCAGAGTTACCGATGCCATTTTTAGTGCAATAAATAAATGTCAGTCGACGAATTCTATTTCAGTCGTTGCGACGTGTACAGACATTACCAAAGTAGGTAGGAAATTAAAAGAAGCTCGAGGGGTTCACTTCTTTAGAACGATGTTGACGATACCAAATTTAGAAAAGGTATCTTTACAAAACTAATGAAATATATCTCTTAATTAAATTTATGTTAGATAGTTATGATGAAGAAAATTACAATACAATAAATTGTATCGGAAGGTTAAAGTGTTGAATAGTTTTCTTTTTATATGACAATGCTGAATACAAATTTGCTTCGACAGGAGGATAGAATCAAAATTCTGAGATCGAGTCTCCAAGACAAATTGTACCTTGCGAAGGAGATTGATTGGGACTATTATGGGAACAAAACGGAGGACTGGGTCGTTCAAGATCTCGTCGTCTTAGCTGACAAAGCCGCTTTCACCACCTGGAAACGACATGGTACCTACACATTTTTCTATAAAATTTAAAATTATTTTTTGTAAAGTCTTCAGCCGAAAATAATATATTATAATAATATATTAATATTAGGTATTTATAAAAACATTTGAAAATAAATTACTTTAATCAGGAACAATTTTTAACACAGTTCTGTATTCGCCGTTTGAATTATTACTAAAATGTAATACATTTTTTTTTGCAATATTAGTAAAAGAGAAAATAGAAGGTTCTCTACGGCTTTGCGATGCTGACTTGTCTGAAAGTCTTTCGCGATATTTACCACTATCATTGCACGGGGTAAGTTTGTACAAAGGTGTCGGTCATAGCTGGTCAGATGTGGGCGGACTAGCGAAAGTAAAGGACTCTCTCATCGAGATTCTACATTGGCCGCTAAAATATCCAGAAATCTTTAAAAAGGCGCCGATAAAATTGCAAAGTGGCATTCTATTGTACGGAATGCCTGGTACTGGAAAGACCATGTTAGCAGGTGCTATTGCCAAGGAGTGTGGCCTAAACTTGATAAGCATCAAGGTAATTATTTATCATCCATGAACTGTTGTGGCTATCTTTAATCTCATTTGTAAAATATTACGTTTTGTGGCTAGACGACACTCGCGTTTATTACCTTTTCTTATCAAAATGTTACGTGCATCGTATCGTATTTGCGATATGTTATGCAATAACTAGGAAATCTGTCTGCCACATTAATGTAATCAGCTTGATGGTTACTTCATCGATTTATTTATTATTTAATTTAATTATGAAGGGACCAGAACTTTTATCCAAATATATTGGAGCTAGTGAAGAAGCTGTGCGAAACGTATTTGAAAAGTATGTTGATTACAACTAATAAGCTATTTTTTGTTATAATTATTCACGGATAGAATAAATGTAATGTTTTTCAGAGCCAAAAGAGCGAAACCTTGTGTCTTATTCTTTGATGAGTTTGACAGCCTTGCGCCAAGGTCTGTAAAATAATGTAATTTCTTATTCAAACAAATCAGATATAATCATTATGAATATGTCCCTCAAATCATAAATTGTTCATTAACAAAAGTTATTTTATCAAAATATTGTAAATAGATTAGTAAAGCGAGTAAATAGTAATATTTTTTCCAAGTTATAAAAATAAGATTAACAAATCTTGAAATATTAATATTTGTATTTAATATCAAAAAGAAAATTCAGACAATGAAAATCAATTCTTGAGTGAATCGAAAACTTCAGTATTTTTTACTGTAAATGTAAAACAGGCGAGGCCACGACAGCACTGGCGTGACCGATCGTGTGGTAAATCAGTTGCTAACTCACTTGGATGGAATTGAAGGAAGGGAGGGAGTCGCGGTTGTCGCCGCCTCTTCACGCCCTGATCTGCTTGATCCTGCGCTTTTGAGACCTGGGCGACTCGACAGATCACTGCTTTGTCCACTGCCAAACGAGGTTGGTGTAGACATACAATATTATATAAATCCAATAACCAATAAAATTGTTTTAGTTGAATGACATTTTATGAGTATTATTTTTAATACACATAAAATGTAATTGCATCCTCATTGAAAAAGTCATTGACTGGAAAAATAGTTTATAAAATGATTTTTCGAAAAATTTTTTCCTTGTCTATGTTATAGAGTGACAGGAAAGAAATTTTAGAAGCTGTTTGCCGGATGCATGGCATCGACATGCAAAATTTAGACTTGACAGCCATAGCGAAAATGACGGATGGGTTTACGGGCGCTGATTTAAATGCCGTTGTAATACAAGCAAGACTTAATGTAATTGAAGGAGCTATAGATGCTTCTGGCACGGTGAGTTGATATTTATGCCTTGTTAATTTAAGATATTTAGCCAATTTCACGTTTTACGTAACTACGTGAGCGAGTATATTTTGCTTGCAGGACTATTTGAAAAATCATGATCCTAAAGATGTAAAGCAAGATCATCTATTAGATTCACTCAAATCCACAAAACCATCTTTATTAGCCAGCGAGAAAGCCAAGTATACAAGAATGTAAGCCATGACGTGATTTTATTTTCAATCCCTTTTTTGATTGGTTACGACTTTTTCGATAAATTGTGTACTGTTTGTTTCAGATATGCCAAGTTTGCAAAAAGTGATAGCTGTCCTATTGAAGACATGAAACATCAAAAAGCTACATTGGCTTGAAATTGGAAGTTTGTAATCATTATATTACAAGAGTAAAGACTTAGTTTTATACATTTGCTTTTTTACACGGTGTTAATAAAAACTTGCTGAAACTGCTAAAATAGTTTGAACATAATTCGTTTCCACGGCATTCTTCAAATTCATCTAAAGCATTATTAACTTGGCCACCCGCAACGAAAGCTTTTGATGTAGTTCTACCAGCGTATAAAGTTATTAAAACAAGCCCCATAAAACAAAAAAAAATTGGAAAAGTTGAGTGAGGCAAGTTAATTCTTTAACAAGGATAATAAACTTTAGTCTCGGGGAGAGAGGCGGATGAGAGCGGGGGGATAGATGGGTGCGTACATAATGTAACTAAGGAAACGCGCACTGAGAGTGAGGTAGGTTTATTAGCATACGCCCCAATCAACCGGATTTCGCTCCACTTCATCGCTGCCATACACACCTCACTAAACGCCGAGGGCTTTATTATCTTATACGTTCATAATGGTTCCCCGTGATTTTGCACTAGAACATGGCCTGACGATTATGCGCGCCGCTACTTTCGCTTATTACTTGACAGATTAATATACTACGATGATTTTGAAGAGTAATGCATTTGAGTTGTGATTTTGAAACACGGTAAATTTTTTAAATGATATTGAGGTATGCATTACGTATGCGACTGGGTATAATATGTGGTAGTATCATTTGATGGTGCGATTTAAAATTTGAATGTAAAATTTGAAATGTTAATTTGCATACTTGAAAACCGTTTATAACGATTTATAACTGCAATCATAGTATAGTAACAAAAATATATACTAATAATAGAGAAATCATAATTTTCTGTGGCGATGTTTATCAATCTTATTAAATGAAGAATGCGATAAGAATGAACGAATGTACCTTAAAAAGTTGGTAGACAAAAGTAACCTGATCTATTTAGATATCAAGAGCAAGCGTGCAAAAAAGTCGACAAAAAACTTGGAAAATCCGACAGTAGTAGCGCTAATGAACTCATTTTCGGCCGAACTAAAATCATTGAAGAAAGTAGCTCATTAAGTGAGAACCGGTGAGAAGGAAGATGTGCGCAGGGGGGAGGAGAGACAACTCGCGTGGAAATGAGCGCGGATGAAAAGCCCCGAAAAGGCCCCAAGAGCGAGCGAACAATATCGCGCGTTGTTGAAACTAGAAACTCGCTGGCATAGATAAAGCGAGAGAAGAGCTTGCAGGCGGCCCACGGATATACACACAAGTCGTCGCCTACTTGCAGGAATGGCGAAGGCGCGCGTGCAAGCTATATGCTGTCCCAAGTTTTCGTATTAATAATCGGTATAATAATTAGCATTTTCACGCGCGACTTGGCAGGAAGGATGCAGCAGCGAGCTGCGCTTGCTCAACTTCGGGCATCTTGATTTTAAGTTCTCTCTCTCTCTCTCTCTCTCTCTCTCTCTCTCTCGTAAGCGCATATTTTAGCACGCTAATGTCTCGCCAGATAAACTACAATATTAGCTGCTCGCGCTACTGCCGCCGCCGACGCTGATTTAATTTAACTTTGCACCGGCGACATCCGCGGCAATCTCGCGTGCGGGAGAGTAAGCACTCTATTCGATTATCGGGCCGCCCCGCTGCTGTGCACACCGACTTTTCGAGTGCCTACCTCCCCCCCTCGCCCCGCTGGGTTACTCGTCTTTCTCGTTATATGCATTTTTTGCTAGAACTTGCGATCGCCTCTATTCTCGTTGTTTTAATGTACATAATTTCAAAATTTATATAAAATAAAAATAAGAATGCAACAATGTAACTTTATATACCTAACTTAACATATAGTTTTTGCTATGATATTAGTATACAATTCAATTGATTCTTGTGAATACTGTTTGAAATAACCTATATATATATAATTTATTGCAATATTCATGTTTGTGTAATTGTTATATTACAATAAAGAGACTTCCTTATGAGGCTGAAAACATAATCAGCGAAACGTCGACAGTTGTGAAATGGACGTTGTGTTAAAGATTATTGTATTTGGGTTGACCCTTCCTGTAGTTGAATAATAATTTTTCAATTATATATTACCTGACGAATAGCTTTGGATATAATGAAAATGTGGCATCATGCATTTACAGTGACATTCACCTGATTTGCACTCATCGGAAAAGCTCTCAAGCGTCGGAAGTCGCACAAAAACTTTCTATTCACGCTGTCTCAATGAGTTAGGAGAGCGACTTTGCAAAGAATAAAGCTTGCTCTGAAAGTGCGAATACAAGCGTCACGAAAACGCAGCGGAGAGTCCTGGCGATGGAGGAAAGGCGGAGAGAGGAAGAAGAGAATCGCGCCAATCGGGCGCGAATTGCTTTGCAAGTTGAGTCGATTGTAACCGGATTAGCGCGTCGTCGTGTCAGGTAATCAGGGATAAAAATGCGACAAGCACTGGCATTTACGCCTAACTAATGTCCTTCAAGCCGGCTAAATGAGTTACCAGGGCGAGCGAGCGCGAGTTTGTTAGTCGCGTAATTGGCCATTTTCATGCTAAAAAAGCGAGCGCCAAGGAGTTTTGCAAGCGTGAAGTTCTCTCTGCGGAGAGGCTCGCGTCTACGGTGTAAGCTGCTAACGGTCTTTTGCATGGCAAAATGAACGGGTTTCATTTTCTTTTTTTTTTCTTACCGACTTCAAGCGAAAGTCAATCTCTGTACTCGACTCTATTTTGCTTTGATTGTTATCTTTTATTCCGTCGACAAGTACAAAAGATTTTTCGACGAAAATCACAGAATGAAACTGTCACGTTTTAGTCATTTTGGTTTGTGTGGTGCTGTACACAAATTATGAACATTTTAAAGAAATGCTGATTAAAATTTTAATAAACACTGCATGTATTAATTATTTAGTTGCTGTAATGATAATTTACTCATTGCGAAGATAATCGTCATAAGTCTAGACAAATATCTAGAAGATTGTATCGTTACGAATAGATCGTTTTTAAAATGTACTACATAATATCCATCGCTAAATAAACGTTATTGCAAAAATTAGTTGAAAAAATTAATATTACTTAAATGTACACTAAATGTACGCATGAAACTGGAAACTAAAAAAAAATTGTCTTCAGCTAGTGTTGAATAATACTACTTAGTAATTCTACGTATAGAAGCTCTAAAAAGAAATAATGCCATAACATTTCTGGATCAGAAATATAACGAATTACTAGGGTGTAAGAACATTCTTTTTTGGAGATACTAATGATTAACATGATTAAGAAGTCTCTTGCAACGTTCAATTATATTCTCTGTCATTTTTAGGTTAAAGGATGCTTACAGTGGATTTTTTTCACTAGTTGAAAGCTATTTAAATTAATTACACCGTAAAATTCTTATCGTTACTCTCGATGAAATCCTTGATGAAAATGCGTAAGAAATTGTGTACAGAATTAAATTATGCACACAGAACTTTTTAGATATTATGTAAGAAAAAATGTAATGTTTAAACTCTAACATATTCGACTGCATTCAATCTCCATGTGAGACTTCTATTCTTTTTCTTATTGCTTTGATAACCGATTCACGTACTCTTGCGTATAATTCTCTCTTGGTTCGTTTCTATCTTCTTTATTCAATTCGCAAAATATATATTGTACTATATCACATATAATTTGACAGCATTAAATCATTCAAACAAATAAAGCATATAAGTTTTGACATATAGGCTTACCGTGTCACGAAACAATAAACAAATTGAAAGTATTAACTATAATTTGCGTAGTTAAAAGCTATTGCTAGAGAAGTAACAGCAGTTGATAAATTATTTATACTTTGAATTTAATGTTTTCTAAAGTTTGTAAGTAGTTTGGATTTAAACAGGAGTGAAAACGTTAGATGAAAATTCCATTCGTCTAATCGACAGATTTATTTAACCTTGCATAGTCAAGATGGCACTTTGTACATGAAAAATAACACGCAAAAGCCATTACTTTATGCGGGTTATATTGAAAGAGATTATGCCACGGTTGTTATGTAAAAATATTTGTAACAAAATTAAAATCTACCATAGCACTTTTCTTTGCTTGGTACAAGTAATTTTTTATTCATTCGTGTCCAACATAAACGGACGATATAGCAGTTCAAACAGTTGCTGCTAAAAATATATGAATTTTATCTATACTTTTCAAAAAAATTCATATAAAATTTTTATGAATTTTGCATGAATTTCACATCGATTTTGATTAAATTTTATTCAAATTTTATGGGAATTGCATTCAAATTTAACTTGCATTTAAAATAAATAATAATAATAATTTATATAGAATAAAGAAAAATTTACGCTTGAATTGTTTGAATTATTTTTCTATTAAAAATTTCTTCATCGTTTTATGCATATTTTATATATAGCATGTTAAGTAAAAACAAGAGCTTAACAAATCTGATATTTTATTTAGAAATACTTATTTTTACGTATATATTGAACAATTAAGTTGCATCTGCATACCTTCCAAATTACAACTCTCTTCAAAAGTTAATTGAAAGTATAAATTTTTTCTTATTAGACGTGAATAAATATTCGATCATATGAATTCGTATAGTCTGAAGATAGTGAATGCAACTTTATCCATCTGTCATTGAAAAATATTTATTTTAGAATATTTGAAAGGACATTACTGTAAATATATTTTTCATTTGATTGTAAAATGCTATTACTGGTGATTCTTTGTGACATTTCACAATATGTTTTTCTAGAATAATTTCATTTTGTCTTTACTCAAGTTTCCGATATATTTGATATAACACCGCTTTTACCACACCGACGATTTTCTCGTTACCCGACTGTTTGCGGAAGTTGCGCTTCACGTGCACGCTGATAGATTCCGCCGCGAAATAAGAAAGGCAATAAATGTTGTACCTCGCGTAATGGCAAATATGTGGGCCTTACAGTGCATTAAAGACAAACGCGCGACAATACTAATGGCTAACGCGTGCGTGCGCTCGGGTCAGGAGCTTCTCGCCGCGGAAAGAATACGTAGCGGCCGGCTTTGGTCGGCGACGCACAGATGGCCGCGGGCCCCGAGACTTCCTTTTCCCACGCTCGTCACTGATTGGTTACCGCGACCA